GTCCATTACTGCATACACATTAAAGTGTCACTAAACCCAGGACCCTGCATTCACTATATCCACTCTCCCAGGAACCTGAATTCACTATATCCGGTCTCCCAGGACCCTGCCTTCACTATATCTGGTCTCCCCAGTACACAGAACATGGAAGTGCAATTATTTTAGTAAATATAAACTGCTAAATACCATTTCTCATCAGCAGTTAGAGCAGTCTTGTGACTTCTATCAGTGTCCAGCCGAGCACATGTTAAATCTTGTAGGAAAAGTTTTCTTTGTGCTCTAGGAGGATGCAGAACCCCTGACCTCCATCTGGACAGTGTTGATTGGTCTTGTGCTGATCACATGCACTCTCCCAAGAAAAAAAAAAACCTCTCGTGACTTCTATCAGTGTCCAGCCGAGCACATGTTAAATCTTGTAGGAGGAGTTTTCTTTGTGCTCTAGGAGGATGCAGAACCCCTGACCTCTGTCTGGACAGTGTTGATTGATCTTGTGCTGTTCACATGCACTCTCCCAAGAAAAAAAAAAAACCTCTCTTGTGACTTCTATCAGTGTCCAGCCGAGCACATGTTAAATCTTGTAGGAGGAGTTTTCTTTGTGCTCTAGGAGGATACAGAACCCCTGACCTCTGTCTGGACAGTGTTGACTGGTCTTGTGCTGATCACATGCACTCTCCCAAGAAAAAAAAAAAACCTCTCTTGTGACTTCTATCAGTGTCCAGCCGAGCACATGTTAAATCTTTTAGGAGTTTTCTTTGTGCTTTAGGAGGATGCAGAACCCCTGACCTCTGTCTGGACAGTGTTGACTGGTCTTGTGCTGATCACATGCACTCTCCCAAGAAAAAAAAAACCTCTCTTGTGACTTCTATCAGTGTCCAGCCGAGCACATGTTAAATCTTTTAGGAGTTTTCTTTGTGCTTTAGGAGGATGCAGAACCCCTGACCTCTGTCTGGACAGTGTTGACTGGTCTTGTGCTGATCACATGCACTCTCCCAAGAAAAAAAAAAAACCTCTCTTGTGACTTCTATCAGTGTCCAGCTTAGCACATGTTAAATCTTGTAGGAGGAGTTTTATTTGTGCTCTAGGAGGATGCAGAACCCCTGACCTCTGTCTGGACAGTGTTGACTGGTCTTGTGCTGATCACATGCACTCTCCCAAGAAAAAAAAAAACCTCTCTTGTGACTTCTATCAGTGTCCAGCCGAGCACATGTTAATCTTTTAGGAGTTTTCTTTGTGCTTTAGGAGGATGCAGAACCCCTGACCTCCATCTGGACAGTGTTGATTGGTCTTGTGCTGATCACATGCACTCTCCCAAAAAAAAAAAAAAAAAAACCTCTCGTGACTTCTATCACTGTCCAGCCGAGCACATGTTAAATCTTTTAGGAGTTTTCTTTGTGCTTTAGGAGGATGCAGAACCCCTGACCTCTGTCTGGACAGTGTTGACTGGTCTTGTGCTGATCACATGCACTCTCCCAAGAAAAAAAAAAAACCTCTCTTGTGACTTCTATCAGTGTCCAGCCGAGCACATGTTAAATCTTGTAGGAGGAGTTTTCTTTGTGCTCTAGGAGGATGCAGAACCCCTGACCTCTGTCTGGACAGTGTTGATTGGTCTTGTGCTGTTCACATGCACTGTCCCAAGAAAAAAAAAACCTCTCTTGTGACTTCTATCAGTGTCCAGCCGAGCACATGTTAAATCTTGTAGGAGGAGTTTTCTTTGTGCTCTAGGAGGATACAGAACCCCTGACCTCTGTCTGGACAGTGTTGACTGGTCTTGTGCTGATCACATGCACTCTCCCAAGAAAAAAAAAAACCTCTCTTGTGACTTCTATCAGTGTCCAGCCGAGCACATGTTAAATCTTTTAGGAGTTTTCTTTGTGCTTTAGGAGGATGCAGAACCCCTGACCTCTGTCTGGACAGTGTTGACTGGTCTTGTGCTGATCACATGCACTCTCCCAAGAAAAAAAAAAACCTCTCTTGTGACTTCTATCAGTGTCCAGCTTAGCACATGTTAAATCTTGTAGGAGGAGTTTTATTTGTGCTCTAGGAGGATGCAGAACCCCTGACCTCTGTCTGGACAGTGTTGACTGGTCTTGTGCTGATCACATGCACTCTCCCAAGAAAAAAAAAAAACCTCTCTTGTGACTTCTATCAGTGTCCAGCCGAGCACATGTTAATCTTTTAGGAGTTTTCTTTGTGCTCATTTTAGGAGGATGCAGAACCCCTGACCTCCATCTGGACAGTGTTGATTGGTCTTGTGCTGATCACATGCACTCTCCCAAGAAAAAAAAAAACCTCTCGTGACTTCTATCACTGTCCAGCCGAGCACATGTTAAATCTTTTAGGAGTTTTCTTTGTGCTTTAGGAGGATGCAGAACCCCTGACCTCTGTCTGGACAGTGTTGACTGGTCTTGTGCTGATCACATGCACTCTCCCAAGAAAAAAAAAAAACCTCTCTTGTGACTTCTATCAGTGTCCAGCTTAGCACATGTTAAATCTTGTAGGAGGAGTTTTTTTCTTTGTGCTCTAGGAGGATGCAGAACCCCTGACCTCTGTCTGGACAGTGTTGACTGGTCTTGTGCTGATCACATGCACTCTCCCAAGAAAAAAAAAAACCTCTCTTGTGACTTCTATCAGTGTCCAGCCGAGCACATGTTAAATCTTTTAGGAGTTTTCTTTGTGCTTTAGGAGGATGCAGAACCCCTGAACTCTGTCTGGACAGTGTTGCTTGGTCTTGTGCTGATCACATGAACTCTCCCAAGAGAAAAAAAAAAAACCTCTCTTGTGACTTCTATCAGTGTCCAGCTTAGCACATGTTAAATCTTGTAGGAGGAGTTTTCTTTGTGCTCTAGGAGGATGCAGAACCCCTGACCTCTGTCTGGACAGTGTTGACTGGTCTTGTGCTGATCACATGCACTCTCCCAAGAAAAAAAAAAACCTCTCTTGTGACTTCTATCAGTGTCCAGCCGAGCACATTTTAAATCTTTTAGGAGTTTTCTTTGTGCTTTAGGAGGATGCAGAACCCCTGACCTCTGTCTGGACAGTGTTGACTGGTCTTGTGCTGATCACATGCACTCTCCCAAGAAAAAAAAAAAAACCTCTCTTGTGACTTCTATCAGTGTCCAGCTTAGCACATGTTAAATCTTGTAGGAGGAGTTTTCTTTGTGCTCTAGGAGGATGCAGAACCCCTGAACTCTGTCTGGACAGTGTTGCTTGGTCTTGTGCTGATCACATGAACTCTCCCAAGAGAAAAAAAAACCTCTCTTGTGACTTCTATCAGCGTCCAGCTTAGCACATGTTAAATCTTGTAGGAGGAGTTTTCTTTGTGCTCTAGGAGGATGCAGAGCCCCTTACCTCTGTCTGGACAGTGTTGATTGGTCTTGAAAAATAAAAACCTCTCTAGCCATACACACCAAACTGGGCATGTGCAGAATGTCTCCACAATATGTCTTATCAGGAGATAGAAGGGAGGATCAGTCAGGATCAATCAGCGGTTTTAAACAATGCAGAGGATTAACCGCTTAGGTTCCACAGTGAGTATAACATGCATGCGTTACTGCCAGGGGCGAACTGACCATTTGAGCACTCGGGCACTGCCCAAGGGCCTGGGGTCAGTAGGGGGCCCCATGAAATGCCCCTGGTACCTTTTTTATAGGCTTTTTTCGGGTGTGCTTTGAGTTTGGGCAAGGACACAGGGGCCCCATGATCCCCTATTGCCCGGGGGGCCCCATGAGTTGTCAGTCCACCCCTGGTTACTGCATATACAGACTGATTGTACTGTTGTAGGTTTAGTAACACTTTAACATTTGCTACACCAACCCATTAATTTTGATATAATTTAGATAGGACAGCCTACAGATAATGAATACTAAAAGTCCACATAAACTCTATGACGAATCCTCTGTACGTGTCAAGATTCCCACTGAGTCAATAATATAAATGTACCATAGTAATAATGTATCCATTCATCAGATTGACATGAAACATTCAAATGAAAGTCTCAATCAGTAGGTATGAAGAGGTTCCCTTCCGTCGAAGTGTTCAGAGAAAACAGAAAACTGGAATCACCACTAGTGAGGACCCTTCACCCTCTCACCTGGTGGTTAGACCTGCTGAACTTCGGTGTAATCGCGCTGTTCACCCTATAGTCCCTGGGTTATGGGGACATCCTTTGGGTATGGGTCCTCCAAATGTTCAATGAAAAGCGATTCACCGATTATATGGAGAGAGAAGCTTCCCCTGTCCTCCCCTGCTCTCACCTGGTGGTTAGACCTGCTGAACTTTAATCGCGCTGTTAATGTAATGTAACCATTTAGTATTCATTATCTGTAGCGCTGTCCTATCTATTGTATCAAAATGAATGGGTTGCCTTAGGAAATGTTAAAGTGTTACTAAACCCACAACAGTACAATCAGTCTGTATATGCAGTAAAGCATGCTGGTTATACTCAGTGTGGAACCTAAGGGGTTAATCCTCTGCATTGTGTAAAAATGCTGATTGATCCTGACTCTGATCCTCCCCTTCTTCCAGTGTTTCCCTTCTATCTCCTGTTTAGCGTTTATGTGGACGTTTAGTATTCATTATCTGTAGCGCTGTCCTATCTATTATATTGCTTTTTAGATATGTGGTGTGATCATATGAGGACTTAGTGGCAGCAGATTATCCTATTCATTCATTCATTCATTTATCGTTTTACACCAGAATTGCACAAGGGTTGCTTTATTATATTTTTACCATTAATTTTGATGATGCCAACTCATAGGCCAATGAGGAGGCAGGTGACACAAGAAGCTGTAAACAAACTGAAATCAGAAAAAAAGTGTCACACTATTGGTGAATCAAATAACTGACTGAACAGGATTACAAATCCATAGGCAGGCAAAACGGTGCACATGTAGTATTTATATGTTACCTGGCTATTTAGCTGTTTGCCTGTAATTGCTTCATTTAATATATACATTCCATTAGTTCAATAATAGCACCCCTAGAGGTGGCAGGACACTCACCGCCTTGACGTGCTGGACTTTGCTGGCCAGATGCTCCATTCCTGACTTTGCAGTGCCCATAATTTTAGACATTCTGTCCAGATCCTCCTTACACTTGTCCCGTCTCTTCTCCTCCTTCTGAAGATGAGTTTGAAGCTCTTCCAGTACCTGCTGGCCACTATAGGTGTAGAAGAATGCATTAATAGGCTCAGTTCACAAAGCCAACTGGGGAAAAGGATCCTTATTTTCAAAAATGTAAGTTATTTTCAGCCAATGAAGTTTGAAAATGAGAGTCTCAGGTCTAAAATGAAGATCCTTAAAGGATAAGTTCACATTTGTAACATGTTACACATTACACCCATATTCAGGGTGTAACATGTTACAATTCTCCCCCCGCTAGCTGTCAAAAAAAAAAAAACAAGTGTTCTGTGAATGAGAAGATAACAAGTCCTGACAGCCTTTGCGGCTGTCGGCTTGTAATTCTCAAAGAACTACCATGCTGCTGATGAGTAGTTCATTGATTCTTCCCGTCGGTGTAAAACTGTCTGCTCGTACAAGCAGGCAGATTACACTGACAGTCTGCAGGAGGCCTGCAATGCTTTCCAGGCTCCTACGAATAAAAAATAGTAAATGCACATTTTTTACCTGCACAAAAATGTGCATCTATTATTTTTTGTTAAAGTGTGACATTATCAGGATATGACGAAACGCGTCAGGACGTAACGGTGCGGCGGACCGGAAGTGACGTAGATCCGTAGCCGGTAGTGACGTGACGGCGCTCTGTCTGACAGTTCCAGACGTGGTGAGAGCACCAGGCGGTATCTGCTGGTCACAGATATGTGCTATATGGGTGTCAGGAATGGACTTGCCAATAATGGTGGGACTCACCTGCCTTGTGGGCTGCAGTACCAGGGCTGGCCAGCGGGTGCTCTCAGCAATCAGAGACTCAACCCTGCAGTCAGCCAAGACACCTGAGGCTGATTGCAGGTGTATTTAAGGGATGGCCAGACCTGCAGTCTGGGCCTTGTGTGTGTGTGTTTTTCCATGGGCCCTGTATCTTGTTACCTGCATTCCTGTCCCTGTTCCTGTCTGACTGATTTGTTGCCGACCCTGCCTGATCCGGACCTCTGCTGACTTCTCCTGTTTGATCCCTGGCTTGTGACCCCGACCATTCTCTGCCTGACCCCCTGTACCTACCTGCCCATTAGTTGCTGTACCCGGCTCGTGACCTGACTACTCTCTGCCTGCTCCTCCTGTTCCTACCTGCCCGATTGTTATTGACCCGGCCTGCCTGACTACGCTCGCACTGTATGTATTGTTATCTGTGGGTGGTTTGGTTTGGTTCGTTTGCACTGTGTTATGTTTTAGTATTGCACTGCGTTTATGTATTGTTAGTATTAATAAATTATATTGTTTATAACATATCTGAAGCCTGCGTTTCCCTGCGTCAGTTCACATACCTCTGGTCATACCCGGAGCCCTGACAATGGGCTTGTGTTTGTTTTTAGCATTGTAAGTGCAATACTTGGAGCAATAAATCAATTTATCTTGTGTAATACACCATTGGAGCAGGGTTTTTGTTCTTCTCTTTCATGATATGGTGGAGTATGGAGTATTAATGGAATGGAGATTCAAATTATCCTGGCATTTGATCATTGAGTGGGCTGTTTTTGGAGGAACCTCCTGTTTTATACCAGTGGAAACCTTCTTTATTACTCTATAATAAAGGCAAATTTGGTGAGTGCACACCCGAGTGGGGGCGTACTGCGGGCACTGTACATGGTTGATAACACCATATGGTTTTCATTACGAGAAGTTTTTTCATCACTGGACTTTATTATTATTTTTTTTATCTTTTATCACTGGATTATTATTTTTTATCACGGATTTTTAATTTGTGATATCACAGTATAGTTTGTAGTTCACTATAAAATAAGCACAATTTTGTTTTGGTTCTGTCACTGGTATAATACTGTATATATGATATATTCTTTTAGAGGATATACTATGTATTGGTGATAATAGGAAAGTTATCATTAATATCAATATTTTTGTAGTTTTGACACTGTGGAGTGTATACGCCGCTTTGATTCATCAGTTGGTTGTGAATTATATATATTTATCCTTTAAATGCCTAGTACAAATGATAAAAATAGAAAAAAAAAATGTTTTCGGAGTGATTGTACGATACTGATCGTTAGTACGCAGCTTTCAACAGTTCATGCAGAATTATCAGAAGGGAAAAGCAGACGTTTTCCCGTGAGATATTAGAACTTTCATTTAATCAGTATGGTATTTGTCCGTAAAAAAAAATCAAGTGACCAAGATGTGCATGCTCGGAAACAAAAGAATACATTACATCGTCGCCCTAAGTTGTATTCTGTCTTACGATAATTTTCGTAACTCTGGTAACCTATTCATTTTCGATATGAGACTAGCATGCAAAAAAAAAACCTGGGCAATCATTGGTCCAATATTCTCAAGGTGTATACCAGCCTTTATCCTTTGATAAATGTTTTGTGAATTGAGCCTAAGGACCATGTCACACTAGTGATCCTGACTCTGGCAAATAGTGAGTAGTCTGGCAAGAGAAAACTGGGCAGGGCTGACACTACTCAATTCACACAAAGTGCTGTGTTGTCACGCCATAACAGAATTTAGGAGCTGTTTCTGGTGAATCAACAGGTATATTTCTTTACTTGCGCGGTATTTAAAGGGATAAAATATGGGGATAAAGGGATAAATATGATAAAATATAACATATACTGCATATGTTTTTTTATTTCGCTCTGACACTTTAAATAAGTCCAAAAGTGTCAGTGAAATATGTATACCTTCTGTTAGAATGTAAAGGTGCTGGTTTACTCTCAAAAGACAATTCTTCATCTAAAATGGTACCATCCACCATCTAATTCAAGGATGGTAACCAGTGGGATTCTATGAACAATCTACCTGGATAGCTTGGCCTCTCCTGAGTACTTGAGCTCTTGGAAAACTTCCTGCAGCTTCTCCTTTTCTTCCTTCAGCCTCACCAGGGTCTTCTCATTCTCGCTCTTCAGTTCATCCAGGTGTCGATAAGTCTCTCCCTGTGCTACAAAACGCCTGACCACTTCCTAATTCCAGAGTGGGACACAGAAAAGAAGTAAGGTAAATTAGTAATGCATCCCTTCTGCTCAGAGAATTGATTTTCTGCATTCATTTAAAAACCTTCTATTGTCAGCACCCCCCCCCCCCCCCCAAATTTTTACCTGAACCAGATCTCAATCCAGTGTTGTGCTCAAGAACGGTGGTGCGCTCTCTCCCTCTTCACTGGAATGGCCATTTGCTCCAGCTGCTGTCAATCAAATTCAAACAGGAGGGTGGGAGGGGGCAAAACCATGCTCTGTGTGTCAATGGACACACAGAACATGGCTCAGGATCTAGCCTGTATGTATGCCTGCATAGGAAGCACCTTCTTATGGTGGAACACGGAGAAGAGGAGGAGCCCAGAGCACAGGTGGGGGACCCCAAAAGAGGAGGATCGGGGCTGCTCAGTGTAAAACCATTGCACAAAGTAGGTATTACATGTTTGTTATCTAAAAAAAAATAACTTTACAATCATTTTAACTTAGTGATGAAGGCAGGGACACTATATTGGTACCAGATATGCACTTCAGTGCAGCATTCAAACACCCATAGCCTCATAATAATGTGTCAATCGACATGTGTCAGGAGGAGCATCATCCATTGTCATCATATATGCACCTTCTCTTTAACCCCAAACCAAGAAACCCCTACCTGTGTGTCAGTCACCCCGGTGGCCTCCTTGATCTTCTGAAAGGCTTCTTGATAAGTGCGGATTGCTTTTTCCTCCTCCTGTCCACTTGCCACCAGTTGGGTTTCCACAGGAGTGTCCTCTCCTGGCAATGATACACGCTGAGCCTATATAAATGGGCAGAAGGATGGTTATAATCCGGTGCAGAGAAATATGGAAACATATGGGGGTATCAACTCACAATTTGCCCACCATTTTTATATTAACAGCCCTTCGTTGTATAGGCACCACCCTCACTAACATGCCCAATCCCAGAGATATATATGTATAATTTGTAGACCATGCCCACAAGGTATTATAATGTGAAGTGAATGACACCTCATAGAGACAGACAGCAGAGGTAAAGAGGTAATGTATATAAGATGGGGGGCTAAAAAAGGGGTAGTTATAGCAAATTGAGGGTACCAAAGAAAGTGTGGGACTGCCATGGGAATTGTATGTTTCTGACAGGTTTATTTAACAGGCCAATGAATGGCCTATCACCTGGCCATTCATTTCATTCATCATTCATTCATTCATTCTTAAGAATATGTATGTATTAAAAGTATTTTATGCATGTTATTTACCTGGCAAAGCCCCCTTTGTGCAGGCAGCTGAGGCTAAAGCCCTGAGACTATTACTGAAAGTCACCACCTTGGATGTGATGTCAGCAGTCCCAGCAGACTCACAGCTGTGACACTCTATACTATAGTATTCCCTTTTCCTGCTCCCCAAGCAACTACATAAATGTTTATGCAGGGAGGTGAAGGGAGGGGCAGAGGACATGGGCCAGCACAGACAGTAATTAAACATTCCCATAGGAGGAGAGGGCTGTGATATACAAGGAGGGGCTATGCTAGGCAATTTACTCTCCTGGAGGAGTCAAATTTGCTAGCACGTTCAAAGGTACATTAAAAGGCATAAAATTATTTATGAAAATGAAAAATGCTGCCATTAAGCATTTAAAGTGCTGGATTTTCATGAGCTTTTACCTAAATTGGCTAAGTGGTTAGCACTTCTGCCTGGCAGTACTAGAGTCGCCGGTTTGAATCCCAACCACAGCACCACCTGCCTGGAGTTTGCATGTTCTCCCTGTGCCAGCTTGGGTTTCCTCTGGGTACTCCGGTTTCCTCCCACACTCCAAAGACACGCTGGTAGGTGAATTGGCTCCTGTGTAAATTGTCCCTAGTATGTGTATGTATGTATGAATGTGAGTTAGGGACCTTAGATTGTACGCCCCTTGAGGGTTAGGGACTGATGTGAATGTACAATATATATGTAAAGTGCTGCGTAAATTGATGGCGCTATATAAGTACCTGAAATAAATAAATACATTTAAAAAATGGTGATGGTGTTTCTTTCAACTGATGTTAAGTTACCCACAGACCTCAGATGGCAGTCAGATGTGCAGGGACAAACAATATTTATTCAACGATTGTTCTGATAACATTCATGCATGGATCACCTATTGTCTATGCAGGTGGGTGGCCCGGCATTCATTGTACCAGCTTTTATCTCAGAGGAAGAAAGAGCAGTGAATGACATGATTGCGGGTTCACTGCCTCCTCCTTGCTTTTGTTTATTTTTGCCATCATTATCAGTCTGTGCACAGTAAAATGTCTTTCACAGTATATTGGATGTCCCAAGTTTCGATCAAACAGTATTCCTCACCCTACGATCTCTCTCGGCAAACAAACGCCTTTCCTCGGCTTTACGCTTATACTCCTGCAGGATTGCTTCTCTCTCTCTGCGCTCTCGGTGAAACTCCTCCTCCTGCAACTGAAGTTCTGCCTGCAAAAAATGATTTATTTTACAATTATATTACCCTTATCATTCAAACAACATACAAGACCATATAATGAATTTGAAAGGCAATGTATAATATACAGATATAACCAGGACCTCTCCCTAAAGGGGTCTGCTCTGTGTCTAAAAGTAGTAAAGGAGCTGTATAATATACAGATATAACTAGGATCTCTCCCCAAAGGGGTCTGCTCTGTGTATAATGTATTAAAGGAGCTGTATAATACACAAATATGAATAGGATCTCTCCCCAAAGGGGTCTGTTCTGTGTCTAATGTAGTAAAGGAGCTGTATAATACACAGATATAACCAGGATCTCTCCCTAAAGGGGTCTGCTCTGTATAATGTAATAAAGGAGCTGTATAATATACAGATATAACCAAGATCTCTCCCCAAAGGGGTCTGCTCTGTGTATAATGTAATAAAGGAGCTGCATAATATATAGCTATAACCAGGATCTCTCCCTAAAGGTGTCTGCTCTGTGTATAATGTAGTAAAGGAGCTGTATAATACACAGATATAACCATGATCCCTCCCCAAAGGTGTCTGCTCTGTGTATAATGTAATAAAGGAGCTGTATAATACACAGATATAACCAGGATCTCTCTCCAGAGGGGTCTGTTCTTTGTATAATGTAATAAAGGAGCTGTATAATATATAGATATAACCAGGATCTCTCTCCAGAGGGGTCTGCTCTGTGTATAATGTAATAAAGGAGCTGCATAATATATAGCTATAACCAGGATCTCTCCCTAAAGGTGTCTGCTCTGTGTATAATGTAGTAAAGGAGCTGTATAATACACAGATATAACCATGATCCCTCCCCAAAGGTGTCTGCTCTGTGTATAATGTAATAAAGGAGCTGTATAATACACAGATATAACCAGGATCTCTCTCCAGAGGGGTCTGTTCTTTGTATAATGTAATAAAGGAGCTGTATAATATATAGATATAACCAGGATCTCTCTCCAGAGGGGTCTGCTCTGTGTATAATGTAATAAAGGAGTTGTATAATATACAGATATAACCAGGATCTCTCTCCATAGGGATCTGCTCTGTGTATAATGTAATAAAGGAGTTGTATAATTTAGAGATATAACCAGGATCTCTCCCTAAAGGGGTCTGTTCTGTGTATAATGTAATAAAAGGAGCTGTATAATACACAAATATGAATGGGATCTCTCTCCAGAGGGGTCTGCTCTGTGTATAATGTAATAAAGGAGTTGTATAATATATAGATATAACTAGGATCTCTCTCCATAGGGATCTGCTCTGTGTATAATGTACTAAAGGAGTTGTATAATTTAGAGATATAACCAGGATCTCTCCCTAAAGGGGTCTGTTCTGTGTATAATGTAATAAAGGAGCTGTATAATATATAGATATAATTAGGATCTCTCCCCAAAGGGGTCTGCTCTGTGTATAATGTATTAAAGGCGCTGTATAATACACAGATAAGAATAGGATCTCTCTTCAGAGGGGTCTGCTCTGTTTATAATGTATTAAAGGAGTTGTATAATATACATATTTTATTACTAGAATCTCTCCTTAGGGATGTATATGATGTAATAAAGGTGACTTATATAAAACAGAAACAATACTAGAGTCTCGCTGCATAGTCCAGACTATAGTTCATGTCACTATCTCCCACCACGTACTCGGGCCATTTCCCGTGATGTCACTGCCTCCTTGTTCACCATCTGAAGTTCTTTCATCTCTTGTCTCTGGCGAAGTATTTCGGCCTCCAAAAGATCCAACTGTGATTGAAAAGTCAGGCTTTCTTCCTGCAGAAACAGTGTCAGCATCACTAGATATAGAAACAGACCACATAATCTAACTCTATTGAATAACAACAATCATTTCTGTGAAAAATACTCTTCATAAATAGACATACACACATTGAAGAATGAAAAATATTTAGAAGACACCTTCTTTTGCCATAGTTGTCCAGAATGGAGGTGGGTAAAGAAAACACATTTCTCCCACTGATTCCCAATGATATGGGAATGCTTATTTTAAAAGTTTACTATGTTGTAAAGCTTATTTTTTTTAATATATTAGTAAAATCTTTGTTTAACATATATACATTTAACACATGATAAAGGATTCCTAGAGCATAATAATTGTGGGTTAGCTAGAGACAGAACAGCAGCAGCTGCAGCTTGGAGGCTTCTTTATTATCTGAACCTTGACCAGCCAATGTCCAGATCAGTGGTCGCCAAACTGTGGCTCTTTGCTTGCTCTTATCCAGCCCCTGGGATACTATTCCTCCCACTGCTACGAGTCAATATTCCTCCCACTGGACACCAACAATAGGGCATAATTCCTGCTACTGACAGCGAGAATAAGGTATGATTCCTCTTACTGACTTCAACAATGGGGCACCACTCCCCCTACTGACAGCAATGATGGAGCACTTTCCCTCCTATTGCTACCAATGATGGGTCACTGTTCCTCCTACTAACACCAATGATGGGCCATTATTCCTCCTACTAACACCAATGATGGGCCATTATTCCTCCTACTAACACCAATGATGGGCCACTATTCCTCCATCTAATACCAATGAGGGGCCACTATTTCTTTAACTAATACCAATGTTGAGGCACTATTGCTTTAACTAATACCAATGATGAAGGACCATTCTCTCAACTAATACCAATGATGGGGCACTAATTTTTCAACTAATACAAATGACGGGAGTACTATTCCTCCAACCAATACCAATGATGGGGCACTATTCCTTCAACTAATACCAATGATGGGGCACTATTCCCTCAACTAATACCAATGATGGAGCACTATTCCTCCAACCAATACCAATGATGGGCACTATTCCCTCAACTAATACCAATGATGGGGCACTATTCCTTCAACTAATACCAATGATGGGGCACTATTCCCTCAACTAATACCAATGATGGGCACTATTCCTTCAACTAATACCAATGATGGGCACTATAACTTCAACTAATACCAATGATGGAGCACTATTCCTTCAATCAATACCAATGATAGAGCACTATTCCTCCAACTAATAGCAATGATGGACACAACTCCCTCAACTAATACCAATGATAGAGCAACATTCCTCGAAACAATACCAATGATGGAGCACTATTCCTCCAACCAATACCAAGGATGGGGCACTATTCCCTCAACTAATACCAATGATGGGGCACTATTCCCTCAATTAATACCAATGATGGGGCACTATTACTTCAACTAATACCAATGATAGGGTACTATTCCCTCAACTAATACCAATGATGGGGCACTATTCCTTCAACTAATACCAATGATAGGGTACTATTCCCTCAACTAATACCAATGATGGGGCACTATTCCTTCAACTAATACCAATGATGGGTCACTATTCCTCCAATCAATACCAATGATGGGGCACTATTCCTCCAATCAATACCAATGATGGAGCACTATTCCTCCAACTAATACCAACGATGGGCACTATTATCTCAACTAATACCAATGATTGAGCACTATTCCTCCAACCAATAACAATGATGGGGCACAATTCCCGCAACTAATACCAATGATGGGGCACTATTCCCTCAGCTAATACCAATGATGGGGCACTATTCCCTCAACTAATACCAATGATGGGCACTACTCCTTCAACTAATACCAATGATGGGGCACTATTCCTCCAACGGTAATATTCTTGATCTTGTCTTCTCCAACCGCTGCGCTCCCCACAACCTCACTAACACCCCCTTTCCTCTCTCTGACCACAACCTGATTACCTTCTCTATCTCCTCGTCCTCCAACGCCTACCCCTCCAAATGTCACACTACTACCAGCCGTAACCTCCGCAACCTTAACCCTGCCCCCCTCCACTCTGCAGCTGATCAACTCCATGACAGCATCCTCCCCCTGTCCTGCCCCGACTTGGCTATGACTGCCTACAACAACGCGCTGTCAACAGCCCTTGACTCACTAGCGCCTTTAACCACACGCAACATCAGACCCCGACCGCTCCAGCCCTGGCAGACTGATCACACCAAAACCCTCAAACGACACAGTCGTGCCCTGGAGCGACTATGGCGCAAAACAAAATCCCAACAAGCCTTCACCCGCTATAAATCTGCCTTCCGCACCTACACCTCCTCCCTCCACGCAGCCAAACAAGCCTACAGCCTGACCCTCATCAAGACCCTCTCCTCCAACCCTCGCCGACTCTTCTCCACCTTCAACTCTCTACTCTCTCCACCCCCACCTCCACCCAGCACCTCACTCACCGCCCTTGAGATTGCCAATCACTTCAAAAACAAGATTGACACAATTCGCAAAGACATTGCCGCAACTCACACCCCTCTCAACCCGTCCCCTCTCACACAGCTACCCCCTCATCCCCCCTCCCCCTCGACATTACCCGCAGGGACTTAGTCACTGCTCAAACTCCCTCCAACCCCGTTCCCCCTCATTCAGCTACCCCCTCATCACCCCTCTCCCACGGCCCCACCACTGCTCTGACCTCCACTTCCACCCCACCCTACATTCCTCATACTGAAGCTCCCCCAACACTCCGCACCTTCGACCTTACTACCATCGAGGAAGTCTCCAAGATCCTCTCTGATGCCCGCCTCACCACCTGCCCCCTCGACCCTATCCCCTCACAATTCCTACGACCTCCCTCCCCCTCCATCCTACGCTCCTCACCCACATCTTTAATCTCTCCCTCTCCTCCGGCACTTTCCCCTCCCCTCTGAAGCATGCACACATCACCCCCATACTTAAAAAGCCCTCCCTGGACCCCAATGACCCGAACAACCTCAGACCCATCTCCCTGCTCCCATTTACATCTAAACTCCTCGAGCGCCTCGTCTACACCCGCCTATGCTCTCACCTCAACGACAACCACCTCCTCGATCCCCTACAGTCCGGCTTCCGTCCCCTACACTCCACCGAAACCTCCTTACTCAAACTCTCCAACGACCTTCTAACCGCCAAAGCTAATGGCCACTATTCAGTGCTCCTACTCCTTGACCTCTCTGCGGCCTTCGACACAGTTGACCACCCCCTCCTCCTCAAAATACTACACTCCCTCGGCCTCAGAGATTCTGCTCTCTCCTGGATCTCATCCTACCTGTCACAACGCTCTTTCAGCGTTACCTATAATGCTACCACCTCCCCCTCACTCCCCCTCTCTGTTGGGGTCCCTCAAGGCTCTGTCCTTGGGCCCCCCTTCTCTTCTCCATCTACACCTCCTCCCTTGGCCAACTCATACACTCGCACGGTTTCAACTACCACCTCTATGCCGATGACACACAAATCTATCTCTCAACCCCCCACCTCACCCCCTCGGTCTCTGCCCGAATCACACACCTACTGAGCGACATATCAGATTGGATGTCGCTCCACTTCCTTAAACTGAACCTCTCCAAAACCGAGTTTCTTGTCTTCCTCCCAGCCCGGACACCACCCCCCATTGACTTCTCCATCACATCCAACAACGCCAATATCAAACCCGCCCTGCAGGCCAGAGTACTTGGTGTCATTCTGGACTCCAACCTATCCTTCCAGCCCCAAGTCCAATCTTTAACAAACTCGTGCAGACTCCACCTCCGCAACATCGCCAAAATACGCACGTTCCTAACCCCAGAAACCACTAAACAGCTCATCCACTCCCTCATCATATCACGACTTGACTACTGCAACTCCCTCCTCACTGGCCTGCCTCGCCGCTGGCTATCCCCGCTTCAGTCGATCCTGAATACGGCTGCCAGACTCATTCACCTTTCCAACCGCTCCGTTTCCGCCACCCCCCTCTGCCAATCCCTCCACTGGCTTCCGATTGCACAACGGATCAAATTTAAAATCCTAACACTGACGTACAAAGCTGTCCACCATACTGCCCCATACTACATCACTGACCTAATATCCAAGTACCGCCCAGCACGCACACTCCACTCCTCACAAGACCTCCTTCTCTCTAGTTCCCTGGTCTCCTCCTCCCATGCCCGCCTCCAGGACTTCTCCAGGGTGTCACCCATCCTCTGGAACTCCCTGCCCCAACCCATCAGATTATCACCTACTCTCCTCTCCTTTAGGCGCAGCCTGAAAACCCATCTCTTCAGGGAAGCCTACCCTACCCCCTGCTAACTTGACCGACCTCCTCCACTCTTCCTACCACTCCATCCCCCACAGCTATCTCCTCCTGTATCACTATCCCGTCCCTTCTAGATTGTAAGCTCGAAAGAGCAGGGCCCTCGATCCCCTCATGTTTTGCATTGTATTGGTATTGTTCTGTCACATGTTCTGTCCCCCTTTGTAATGTACAGCGCTGAGCGAACTATTGGCGCTTTATAAATACTGTATAATAATAATAATAATAATAATAATAACTAATACCAATTATGAGGCACTATTCTTTCATCTAATTCCAATGATGGGGCACTATTCCCTCAACTAATACCAATGATGGGGCACTATTCCCTCAATTATTACCAATTATAGGGTGTGATTCCCTCAACTAATACCAATGATGGGGCACTATACCTTCAAGTAATACCAATGATGGGGCACTACTACCTCAACAAATACCAATGATGGGCAATATTTTTTCAACTAATACCAATGATGGAGCAGTATTCCTTCAAGTAACACCAATGATGGAGCACTATTCCTCCTCCTATTGGCCACAGGCACTATGTAATTGTTCTACTCCCACTGAACAGCAAGTCTACAGCATTGTTTACTTCTCACTGACGCCATGACATTTTCTGCTCCCATTGGCCACAGTCCAGCCCCCCCTAAGGTCTGAAGGACAGTAAATTAGCCCTTTGTTTATAAACCCCTGGTCAATATAGTTGGCACACTCATGATTGCATTTCATGTTGCTGATTTATTTGTGAAGATGTAATGTATAATTGTCAATGATTTCCCATGTTATGGAAGGTAAAAAGCGGTATTGGGCATTTCAGAATCAAGACATTCTGCAGTGCAAGCTGTATAAAGTTTCTGGCATAGTGAAAACTCAAAGTTCTGCTAGAACAATATTGTCTGCACAGTTGGTGATCATTGTCAGAGTTATACTAACCAAGAGCCTAAAAACAATATAGGATAAAAGGAAGGTTTGCATAGACACACAGTGCTGGGTGAGCCTTCTACCAGCTGCCTCTGTTCAGATGTCAGAGGCCCTGTTTAGGAAAGCTGCTGACTTGCATATAATTTAAGGCTGAACTCCAGGATAAGCAAATACTGTCTAAATACAAAAGCCATGTGTATTCTTATTTGAATCTGGGTGTGCTTTGAGTACTCCTTCCAGATCTGTGCAGTAATCCAGTGTGAGACTTTACCTCTGTGCAGGAACTTCCTGTAATAAAGACCGGTCACTGCTGCTTTTTTTCCTTGTGCAGGGGTGACTGGTCTTGTCTCCGCCCCCCTCCTGTAGTTTTCTGAAGGCATCCTATAGTGGGGGGGTTGGAGCTGCAGGATCTCTCCCACAGCTATGCTGTCTGTGCTGTCACCACTACTATTCCAAGGTAGTAACTGGAATTGCAGAGGTATTTATTTAAATAAAATGGAGTATTGAGGAATATATTTAAATAATTTTTGTTTGTACCCAGATTTCAGCTTGAAGAGATCACCCAAACCTCGTGAGAACATCTGTAATATTTGGGAACCAGGACTGCTGCCGCCGTCACAAAGACAGAGCAAACCATAAGACCTATGCCATGACTTGAGTAGGGGAGGACCTGAATTTTTGTCATGAAACTAAAGCATTTTTTTTTTCTTTCTGGTTTATGGTTTCATTATCTTTCTTAACTAGTTTGTTATTTGGGCCAGAGAACAGAGCAAGCATTTTAAAGATAGGTTTACTGAAGCAGGATCAGGCAGAGAGCTCATAGAAGTCAGTAATTCTTGTCGTCAGTTTACATTAGCTTGCTCCCTTTAGTGCCCACTGATCTTTCTAATGAAATGCCAAGCAGAAGGCTGGCGGCATAGTTATGATCGCATTTACATCATTTGCGTTACTGGGTGTGTTCAGCTGCCTTTTGGCACACAATGTGCATTTAAATGCCTGCCCACGTATTTTTTTTTATTTGATAGGATCTTAAAGTGCATCCTCATGTCAAAAAATGTGCGCAGATTTCTTTTCTACAATGTACCTGCAGGGCAGGTATCTGAACAGGTACCATTGAAAACAAAGTATTTCCTGCAACTATGTACAACATAACAAAAGTGTTTTAAGGCATAAATGTGAATAAGCTCTTTAACCACAGGCCAGAAGTGTATGGTTTGTGGAACTCAGTAGCCATGCTTGGAGAGAGCAGGGTTCGCCTGCTGGATCTGTCAGGGGACACTGTGGAAATCAAAGCCACCAATGGGTAAGGTGTCTAGGGGCTCAGAAAGCAAAGTTACCTTACACTTACCTAATCCGCTGAATCTCGGAGCGCAAGACCGGTCCACTGCTCCTGCCCCCCCCGCATGCTATTGGTCTTGTGAATGGGCTGTTCCTGACGTCATCACACCCACAGGCTGGCTCTGGACATGAGGACAGCAGGAACAGTCCACTGCTAGATGTGGGTGAGCATGGTATTCCGGAGGATCAGAGAAATGGGTAAGTACAGCTTTTACCTGAGCACCTAGAAAAAACGAGCACTTAACCCATGCAGTGCGGACACAGCCCAATGTATGGGAAAATCATTTTTTTTAATCGGAGTTCTGCAATAAATGCATAAATGTCTGATAACATACAGGTGAAACTCGAAAAATTAGAATATGGTGCAAAAGTTCATTTATTTCAGTAATGCAACTTAAAAGGTGAAACTAATATATGAGATAGACTCATTACATGGAAAGCAAGACAGTTCAAGCCGTGATTTGTCATCATTGTGATGATTATGACTTACAGCTCATGAATACCCCAAATCCACAATCTCAGAAAATGAGAATATTACATGCAATCAATAAAACAAGGATTGTACATAGAACAATATCAGACTATATAATATATTGTGATTCCTACTGAACCAGACTGAGAGACCATTTAAAGGCTCAGGAACCCTTTGCAGGTGTTATGGCTTAATTAGCTGATTAGAGTGGGACACTTTGAGCCGAGAATATTGCACCTTTTCACAATATTCTCATTTTCTGAGATTGTGGGTTTGGGGTTTTCATGAGCTGTAAGCCATAATCATCACAATGATGACAAATCACGGCTTGAACTATCTTGCTTTGCATGTAATGAGTCTATCTCATATATTAGTTTCACCTTTTAAGTTGCATTACTGAAATAAATTAACTTTTGCACGATATTCTAATTTTTTGAGTTTCACCTGTATATGCAGATTTGAACCGCATCCAATCCACATGACATGTGAAATAACATTGCTTCCTATGGTGCCTGTTCACATATGTCTGGTGCACTGCTGGTGCAGATTCAGTGCAGTTTTAAAAAAGAGTCATGTCCGCTTTCGGAGCAGTGCGGTCCGGTTCAGGTGCGGATTACAGGCCATTGACTTCTATGGGAACCGTTTCTAAACCTGACATGTGTGAACAGGATAAGATCCAGAGCTGATCCTGTTCTGAACCTGATTTAATCCTGACCTGAACCAGTAAACAGCTACTATGTCAATTAGTTGTGAAACCTGAGCTTCAATCCGCTCCGCACATGTGTGAATCAGCATGAAGTAGTCATTTCATTTGTATAAATCTGCAATTTCTGCACAATAAGGCTGGCCATACACGATACAGTTTTCTTCCAATTTTCTGTCCAATTTCTGCCCAAGTTCCTTTAGATTTACCTTCCACTATGTAGTGCAAGAGCCCGCCTAATTGGATACAATTGAAAGTGTTGTTTATGTTTGACCTCATATTATATGGTTTTTGGTAAATCGAAAGCAAAATTCTCAAGAAAATTGTATAATGTATGGCCAGCCTAAAGCACAAGCAACTAATCATCCATGTTGCAGTGCTCATGCGCTAACAAGAACATGTTGATAGGAGGAGAGGACAAAGAGACGAGCTCATCAGTCTGCTCTTTTTCCTTTTAATGCCCGGCCAGGGGTTGGGGGAGGGACAAGACCTGTACGTGTCACGTAAGTGCAGTAGAGGAAAATCAGGACCAGCCAGGACTGTGCAGTGTGGTAGAGGTATGTAAATATTAGAACCAGATGGACTGAAATACAAATAATTTGGAAGGTAAAACAGCTCCCATATATGTAGTTTACCTGAATATTTAACTGTTTGCCTGGAGCTCAGCTTTAAATGTTGCCTGAGGGTAAGAACACTCCCGAATCCACCATGACAAAGGCTGGGGTTGTAATATACAAACTTTCAGGACTTTTAGGAGAATTTACTAAAACTGGACCAGATGGAATCTGAAGCAGCTGTGCACAGTAACCAGTCAAATTCTAGATTCAACTTGTTCAGGTAAAGTGGTTGACCCCTTACATACACTCAGTTAGGTGACTGGCTTCAGGTGACACACGGAAATTAAACCAATCTTTCTACATACATTGAACAGATTTAGAGAAGAGAAGGCTGCAGATAAACAGGTACAAAGTGCTGAATTTATAAAGTTTGTCTGAGAGTTCTGAAAAACGGGGGCAGAGAGCTGAAATTACACTCTGCAGAGCTTAGTGAGAAGAGCTCTGAGAGCTGATTGGAGGGAAGTATTCCCCCGCTCTTCCACACAGCTCACAGGAACAGAGCTGATGCTGTCAATTATACTGGAGGTCCCTCCCCTGTCACCATTTTTCTCTTGGTGTCAGGGAGACTTGTCAGAAGTGATTCATGCAGATAGGAGGGGAACGAAGCAGCAGACAGAAATGTAAATTAATGCTCTGGATTGAGACAAGTACACACTTTAGAAGGATATGCTTTGTTCATATTTCATGTCTGAGTTTTACAACCACTTTAAGTGTGAAAATGAAAGCTAGAAGCTGACTGGTTGCCATGCATGGGTGCTCCACATTCCGCCTGCTCCATTCTTAGTAAATTCTCCCCACTGCATTAGCAATATGCCTTCCAGTCTCCTCCTGCTTGGTGCCTGCACTGGGTGCAAGGATGAAGAATTTATAGTATGTAAGTCACCTGCATGTGGTCCTTTAACTTCTGGTATACATTGTTTATGTGCTCCGATTCCTGAAGTTTCAGCTGTGCCTTCTCCAGGCGATTTTCCAACATGCGTAGATTCTGTATGACGTACAAAGTGACATGTTAGCAATGGGGAATCTGAACACCAGCCCACCTAAAAGTAATGCTGCTAAACTGAATCTTCCACAGGCGTCTTTTATATGTCAGAGTTCCCAGCACCACCCCACAAATAAAAACACTGTAAAGCCAGCTAGGGGTCCTCAGTTCTCCATCTACTTGTCACAGCAGGTTGGAGCTGGACATTTGAGAGCCCTCCAGCAGAATCCCTAAGAAGTAAGAAGCTAGCAGGTGATTTAACCTGGCAGTCACTCAAAGAAATGTTAAATCTGAGAGGCCTTAGCATTAGGGAGGACTCTGCCCAGAAAGGGTCAAGGTTACTTTCCCCCTGGTGCTTTACTGGAACTCCAACATCCAAATACAAGCCATGACTGGATGAAGTTGCTTCTTCAACCAAGCAACTGTTTTCACCAGTCTATGCATGCACTCCTTGTATTCTTCTGAAGGATCCCATAGCAGTAAATCCAGATGCTGAAATGACTTTCCAAATTTCAATTAAAGGACAACTTCATAAAAGTGAGATTGTCCTTTTAGTAAACCCAGAACCATGTGATCAACACAAGAATCATATTATGGGATGTCCAGTTCTCTACGTGTTTCTAAGACCAATGGTCCACTTTATCTGGAGAAATGGATTACCTGATTATTGATTATTAATCTAAACAGTTATTTGTAACTAGTAATTTAAAGTAATTAATACCTAAAATAAATCTTGTTTTCTCTATATATGGTTCTATGTTCTTTTTGGGGGATATTGGTATATTAGATACATGGATATTTAGCTTCATTTCTGATCCAAAGTTGTTCACTAGGTGGCCCTGCTTGAAGCTACACAACTTCTCCATCCAAAGCATCTTGGCTGCAACCTTTTACCTATTCATTCCTATGGATGGTTGGTACTCTGGCTGTACTTTGGCTAGGGGGTGCCATGAGTATAGACTATTTATATAAATTATTGTGGAAGTGGAAAAACCCAGATACTCCTACGCTTAAGGATGGGCTCTATGTCATAGGGTCCACACAATGAAAAATCTTGGAATATGCATGCCTTGCCGCTCTCAAAGAACCAGGGAGTCCAAAAGTACTAAATAGAGAAAAACAAACGGAGGGGCGCACCGGCCTTGTGCATTACCTTTAAAAGTGTGTTTATTAGATATAAAAAATGTATTCTACTCACAATAGTAAATATAAGGCACATCATGAAGGGACCGCTCTGTCCAATTCGCACTGCGTTTCTGTCTTATAATGAGAATGATGGACATCCAAAAGGCTGACATGTTTCAAGGACTAGCCTCTTCCTCAGAGGGTCTGAGGAAGAGGCTAGTCCTCGAAACGCTCCTCCTCAGAGGCTCTGAGGAAGAGGCTAGTCCTCGAAACGCTCCTCCTCAGAGGCTCTGAGGAAGAGGCTAGTTCTCGAAATGGTCTTCCTCAGAGGCTCTGAGGAAGAGGCTAGTCCTCGAAATGCTCCTCGTCAGAGGCTCTGAGGAAGAGGCTAGTCTTCGAAACGCTCTTCCTCAGAGGCTCTGAGGAAGAGGCTAGTCCTCGAAACGCTATTCCTCAGAGGCTCTCAGGAAGAGGCTAGTCCTCGAAACGCTCTTCCTCAGAGGCTCTGAGGAAGAGGCTAGTCCTCGAAACGCTTCTCCTCAGAGGCTCTGAGGAAGAGGCTAGTCCTCGAAAACGCTCTTCCTCAGAGGCTCTGAGGAAGAGGCTAGTCCTCGAAACGCTCCTCCTCATAGGCTCTGAGGAAGAGGCTAGTCCTCGAAACGCTCCTCCTCAGAGGCTCTGAGGAAGAGGCTAGTCCTCGAAACGCTCTTCCTCAGAGGCTCTGAGGGAGAGGCTAGTCCTCGAAACGCTCTTCCTCAGAGACTCTGAGGAAGAGGCTAGTCCTCGAAACGCTCCTCCTCAGAGGCTCTGAGGAAGAGGCTAGTCCTCGAAACGCTCCTCCTCAAGGCTCGGAGGAAGAGGCTAGTCCTCGAAACGCTCCTCCTCAAAGGCTCTGAGGAAGAGGCTAGTCCTCGAAACGCTCTTCCTCAGAGGCTCTGAGGAAGAGGCTAGTCCTCGAAACGCTCTTCCTCAGAGGCTCTGAGGAAGAGGCTAGTCCTCGAAACGCTCCTCCTCAGGGGCTCTGAGGAAGAGGCTAGTCCTCGAAACGCTCCTCCTCAGAGGCTCTGAGGAAGAGGCTAGTCCTCGAAACGCTCCTCCTCAGAGGCTCTGAGGAAGAGGCTAGTTCTCGAAACGCTCTTCCTCAGAGGCTCTGAGGAAGAGGCTAGTCCTCAAAACGCGTCAGCCTTTTGGATGTCCATCATTCTCATTATAAGACAGAAACGCAGTGCGACTTGGACAGATCGGTCCCTTCATGATATGCCTTATATTTATTTACTATTGTGAGTAGAATACATTTTTTTTATATCTAATAAACACACTTTTAAAGGTACTGCACATGGCCGGTGCGCACTCTTTTTGTTTTTCTGTATTTCTATAAATGAATGGGGCTGTGTGTGCTATGCAAAGGACTTGACTAGGATGTTTTGAATGCAGAGGCCAAGCAGGACTGCTCAGTGAACAACTGGGGAAATGGGGAAGAAAATGTTATAAAGTGATACACTTGATTTAAAGAGCACATTTACTAAAGGTTCCTTTGATATGAGCACTGTGCATACAGCAGAATCCCGAGAGGTAGGGGAAGACAGGGGCAAACTTTGAAGCAAAGGAGCAGAAAGCTTGTAGATTGTACAAAAATCATTGGCTGATGGGTGACCTTTGATTCAGGATGAAGCAAGGTTTGGTCAAACAAAAAAATAATTAACCTGTTGAGGAGTTTCCTCCTGTTCTGTGACTTCACTCTGTGGATGAAACAAGTAAACCATCATGAAGCAGAATAGACCATGTGACCATAGCATCTGCCCGTCCCACTACAGGGTGAGCCAATCAGAGTTTATGTGTTCATTCATATACAACAGACATGTTCCAGGGCCTATTGCAGAGGCCGCTGAACCATTCACATACGTTCCCACTGTTAGAATTGAATGCTTCTACTACACAGGCACATAAACACATGCATAAAGAAGTGGTAGAATATAGTGGTTGGATGATGAACCATATTTGCCATCCTTAGGGCTCGTTCACACTTGATTTTATTTCTAACTCTTGCCAAACGCCCCTATAGCGTTTGACAGGTGTTAGGGAAGCGTTATTAACGCTCCCCAAACGCCCCATGCGCGTTTTGAGGCGGTTAATAGGTGTTTGCCAAACATTAAAACCTATAATGCCTATAATGAACTTAAATGGTCTTAACGCTCCGCAACCGCACTGCAAACGCCTGCCAGGCGTTTGCGGAGCAGCACCATAGACTTGAATGGGAGGCTTCAACTCCTCCTGACTTGACACGAGGTGTCTGTTTTGCCGCGACATGACGCTACCGATTCAGTGTGAACAGCACTGTGTTCTGCCATGTGCAAAAAAAAAAACGCTTCCCAAACGCCTGTCTGATGCCTGCTGACAAAGCTAGTGTGAACTAAGCCTTAGAAGTATGAATTGTGGGGTGAGAACACATTACACTTGAAATATAGGCAGATATATTAATTATTGCAGATATATATTTATTAAAAAAAAGTATTTTCCAGTGAAAAAAGTGTACTTACATTTTTACCCATGTAAGCATTTTGCAATCCCCTGTACATTGGCCTTCAGAACAGAAAAGGGAGGGGCAACATGCAGATGTGCTGACAAGGTACAGTACATGCTGATTGAAAGAGACAGCAGATTGTCAGGGCTCCAGGTATAACCAGAGATGTGTGGACTGATACAGGGCAACACAGGCTCCAGGTATAGTATAAATACTACAATTTATTAAAGACTAAACAATACATAAACGCAGTGCAAGACTAAACATAAACACAGTGCAACCAAACCTCCAACAGATAACAATAAAAACAATACTAAACGTAGTCGGGCAGGCCGGGTCGGTAGCAAATGGGCAGGCAAGGTACAAGGAGCAGGCGGAAGAGTAGTCAGGAATAGCCAAGGTCAGGACAGGCGGAGTTCGTTCAGAGTAGGATCAAAGCAGAATCAGGATCAGGCAGGAAGCAGACAAGATGCAGGTACAGGGGCACATGGGAAACATACATCAAGGCACTGACTGCAGGTCTGGCCATTCCTTAAATACACCTCCTGCAATCAGCCTCAGGTGATGGCTGACTGCAGGAGTGAGTTTCTGGTTGCTGAGAGCACCCGCTGGCCAGCCTTGGTACTGCAGCCCACAAGGCAGGTGAGTTCCACCACCATTGGCAAGTCCATTCCTGACACAGATGCATGAACTCATCAATGTACTGCTGCTCTCTCACTGTCCAATCAGTAGGCTAGGAGTGTATTCTCACCCAAGTTGTGATTTTGCTGCAATGGAGGGCGAGTAGCTGGCTGTGCTGTCTGGCAGAGGAACCTGAATTCAAACACCGTCTGTGCAGAATTAAAAATCCTTTAGCAGGTAGAACAGTTTATATGGGTTTTTAGGAACAGACAGTGGATTCCTACAGCAGATATGATGGGAGTAAGCAAACAGCTGCGGCTGGGAAGCCTGTACAAATGAATGACAGGAAGAAAATGGCTGTATTTGTCTGAGGCTGTATGCATGTACATGCACATGGTGCAATTACCTGCAGGGATTGGCGCTGGACACAATCTTCATCTGTTCACATTCTCCTGTGATTCCTGCCACATGAATCAGCTGATTCTTGCTGCAGGAATCTGCTGTCCATTTCTTCTTTTTTTTTAAAAAAGAATATTTATTGGGTTTTTAAGACATTCATTGTAACGACCAAACAGGCGACATAAAAGGCATATCATGCCAACATAGAAATGTAGAAAATCTCTAACCACATTCCACGAGAAACATTGCGTAAAAACATTGAAGTGTTCTTGGATTAGAGAACCCCTAACACGGGGCAGATATATACCAATATCTGAAAGGCATCTGTGACATCATGGTGAGAGAAAAATGATTTGTAGCTAGAAACAAACAATGATGGATAGAATAGGGGCGATAAAATGTATGGTGTAGGATTTGTTTCTGGGTATGTAAGGTGCAAAGACATGTTGGCTGATGTCCCCCAAGGACACAAAATATGGAAATAAAAGATGGAAACAAAAGGAGAGAAGCTATGTACTAGAGATGAATAAGCGGTGGAGAAAATGGAAGGAATAGAGAGGAGTTAAAGTTGGAAGAGAAAGTATGAGAGAAGAAGAGAGAGGAAAATGAGAAGGCTAAGACACATGTATTAGAGTAGGGAGAATGCGGTAAATAGGGGGGGGGGTAAGCAATTACTACCCAGGGAACCATTTAGCCGGAAGGGCTACGAGAGTGGTTAACCTGGATCTGAGTTCAAGTAAATGTGATAGGATTGGTGGGGGTCAAAAAGGAGGGTATCCTATGGCTCTAATTGCTACCGTAGATAATAGAGGGAGCGTACTCTCCTCCAGTCACTTTGCTGTCCATTTCTAATCACCTTTGCAGGAGTAAATTTATGTTCAGCCTGCACTGTGCTCAGGTCAGGAGGATGACACTAAAGTCCATTCATATAAACACAACATTTTATTTTGGAAGGCTGACAAAATTGGATCTGGTGCCTTAAATTTCAAACCCCCAAATTATACTGTCCCTCCTTATCATGGTGGCACTGGCACTTCTCACCTGCTCTGCCTGCTCAGAACTGTCTTCTTTCCCTGGCTTAGATTGTTCACTTTCAGATTTCTTCTTGTACTCTGTCTCCATCTCTTCTAGTCGCTTCTTCCGAACCTCACTCTGGTGGCGCAAGGCGTTTAGACGCTTTATTTTGTCACAGAGCTTCTGATCCATCAGCTGGATGGCAGCCTGAAAGAGTGTGTTGTGTGATAGGGTGAAAAGTGTGGTACTGTCCATTGGCATGCCCCAATACAACAACGTATACAGATCTCCACCTGTACACATCACAAACACCTTTACTTACATGGCCACTCTTGTTCCTCATTGCAGCTCTTTCCACAGAGTGGCTCTGAAAGGCCTCCTTGATCACCTTCTCATCACCCTGGAACACACATGTGAGAATAGACGTGATGACCATGAGCAGACTTTGACAACTTCCTGTGGCCAAGCTTCAAGCCATAGAAGCCCTTTTCCATCTCTGTTGGGTAAGGTAGTCCTACATCTTGTCTAACGCAATAGAGATACAAGCCTCATAGTGATTGGTCTTCCGACCTGACTATTCACCATACAGTGGCAGACAGTGTTTAAACCTGACCTGCAGCCTTCCCATATGGAAGGAAAATATATTTGAAATATATTTTAAAAATATTCTTCACAAATATATTGCCATATATCTGAAATACTACAATTTTGGCCATATTCACTACATTTAAAAAAAAAAAAAAAATATAATATATATATATATATATATATATGTATATATATATATATATATACACACTGCATGTTGAAATGTGTTTTTATTACAAAATATATGAAAAATATTTTTTAATAATACATTTAAAATATACTGTATGTCTTTAAAAATACAAATCTAGATTTCTGGAATGCATTTACAATTATATGTAAAAATATATGTTAAAATGACTTTTTTATATGTTAAAAAAATTCTGAAGAATGTATTTAAAAAATATATATTTTTCAAATACATTTCAAATATATTTTTCTTCCGTGTGGGTTAGCTTTTCAAAAATTATACTGTCAGGGATGTTTTCTAAAGTGATGTCTTTTTGTTGCTGCTGAGCTTCTCCTATTCCCAAGCTGAAATTTTCCTCCAGCCTATTGTCACAACAGTATTTCTTGTCTGGATGACATCCAGTGTCATCCAGCCACTTCCACAGCAGCCTGGCTGTCACGGACACACCCCCTGTAGTCCTCTGGACTAGAATGCACACAACATTTCTTGTGGGAGTTACATGTGTGGTGACAGAAGAACCCCCAGGTTCTCTACCACTATCAATGCTACCACCGACAAAGCTGCCCAGACTTTCCAGGAATGCCCAAGAGGCATCCTCCTGATACAGTAAGGGCTGAGTGCTCATTGGAATTGCAGTGTACAAGGGTGTGCTCACATATGGGCCAGTTATATTGTGCAAGCTACTTATTTCTTCTCACTGTCGCCCAAAAAAGCTGAGTACATTGAGGACCATCTAATGACTCTATGGGCTTCAAAGTTATTTTCTTGCAACTGGAGTCCGTTATTTCTGCAATTGTTTCTGTGGACTGTCTTTTGTTCTGTAGGTAAATGTTTTCTTAAAAGATTCACACAGCTGTGAATCCTGGATGAATGCTGTATAAAATTTGTGAAAATATTTGATAATATTCACCTAAGGGTCAGTGTCTGAATAAGTCATGATTTGTCCCTATACCTGAACTCTAAGGCCTCTTGCACATGAAGCAGTGTGCCCCTCCTGGAAATGGGAGGGATGGGTGCAGCCGGGGCTACAGACATGGGGGTACCATCAGCCCTGCTGTATGGGGCCCGGGCCCTGGCAGCCAATAAGTCCATTTGCAGCTGCTAAGCTACATTCTGTTTCATAGACTCCTGTCATACTCTCAGAGAGCGGCTCAGTGTTCTGAATGTTAGCTGCACTCCCACTCTGCTCCACCATTTTGACTCGTTCATGTTCCCCTCTGATTGTAACTTTGTTTCTCTTCCCTTCCTCCTTTCAGATTCTTGCCATACTCACTCTGCCTCTCCGATATCCCCCCTCCCTTCCCCATCCCTGCAATCAGGCTCTGATCTTTCTTCCTGATATCTCCAATTGTGCCCCAGTGTCTCCCTGCAGTCCTGTAGGAGTAGTAAATGTGGTACCCCCATGTACTAATGAAATGTCACCTGGCATTCAATGTACATGGTGGTGACCTGTGTCGGTTTACTATGACTTGTTGTGTCATGGCAGAACATGGCACTACTACTTCGATCATCAAAAGAAAATACATGAACTGTCATGTTGTCTAGGGAACAACAACAGTTCATACAAGACCCAGTTAGTCCTACATTTTGGGTTTGATTGCTCTAGGTAGAAGTGTAAGGAATTGGAAGAAGCCCAGTTAAATGATCATTTTATTAATAATTATTGTCTTGACTTTGCTTACTGCAAGCACATCAGCCAGCTTCTTATGCAGCTTCTTGTTTTCCTGGCGCAGGAATTGTATTGTTTCCCAGTTTTTCTGAATCTGCGCACTGGAGCTCTCCTCATAAGCCTTGTGATCGCCATCTATAAGAAGACCAATGACCCATTATTAAAGTCTACTGCCAACCATACATTACACCCAGATTGTACAATCTTCTTTCGATCTACCATAGTACCAGGGCCTGCCTGAGTGGATACTAACTGATGGCAATAGATTATTTAAGTAGTTTAAGTAGGTCTTTTTTTTTTGGATTAGGTGAGAAAAAAAATTAAGAAAACTCCCAATATGGCATTTTTTTTACAAAGTTACATTGGTCTAGCTTAGACCAATCTAGGTATGTACAGTTTCAAGAAAAAGTATGTGAACCCCTTGGGATTACGTGGAGTTTTGCATGAATTGGGCATAAAATGTGCTCTGAGCGTCATCTAAGTCACAACAATAGAAGAACACAGTCTGCTGAACATAATACTACACAAACATTAGATGTGGCCATGGTTTAATTGCACATAACATGTAAACATTCACAGTGCAGGGAGGAAAAAGTATGTGAGGCCCTAGCTTAATGACTTCTCCCAGAGCTAATTGGAGCCAGGAGTGAGCCAACCTTGACTCCAATCAGTGTGATGATATTGGATGTGTTGCTGACAGCTGTCCTGCCCTTAAAAAACACACACCTGTTTTGGGTTTACTGGTTTCAAGAAGCACTGTCTGATGTGAACCATGCCTCGCAGAAAAGAGCTCTCAGAAGACCTACGATCAAGAATTGTTGACTTGCATGAAGCTGGAAAGGGTTACAAAAGTATCTCCAAAAGCCTTGATGTTCATGTGTCCACGGTAAGACAGACTGTCTACAAATGGAGAAAGTTTAGCACTGTTGCTACTCTCCCTAGGCGTGGTCGTCCTGCAAAAATGACTGCAAGAGCACAGCGCAGAATGCTGCATGAGGTAAAGAAGAATCCCAGAGTGTCAGCTAAAGACCTACAGAAATCTCTGGCGCATGCTAACATTTTTGTTGACACATCTACAATAAGGAAAACATTACACAAGAATGGAGTACATGGGAGGACACCACGGAGGAAGCCATTGCTGTCCAAAAAGAATATTGCAGCACGTTTGAAGTTTGCAAAAGAGCACCTGGATGTTCCACAGCACTACTGGCAAAATATACTGTGGACAGATGAAACCAAGATTGAGTTGTTTGGGAAGAATACACAACACTATGTGTGGAGAAAAAAAGGCACAGCACACCAACATCAAAACCTCATCCCACTGTAAAACATGGCGGAGGGAGCATCATGGTTTGGGGCTGCTTTGCTGCCTCAGGGCCTGGACGGATTGTTGTCATTGATGGGAAAATGAATTCCAGAGTTTATCAAGACATTTTGCAGGAAAACGTACGACCATCTGTCCGCCAACTGAAGCTCCGCAGAGGATGGGTGATGTAACAGGACAATGACCCAAAGCATACAAGTAATTCAACAAAACAATGGCTGCAACAGCACAGAATACGCCTTCTGTAGTGGCCCAGTCAGAGTCCTGACCTCAACCCGATTGAAATGCTGTGGCATGACCTTAAGACAGCGATTCACACCAGACATCCCAAGAATATTGCTACACTGAAACAGTTTTGTGAAGAGGAGTGGTCCAAAATGACTCCAGATCGTTGTGCAGGTCTGATCTGCAACTACAGGAAACGTTTGGTTGAGGTTATTGCTGCCAAAGGAGGGTCAACCAGTTATTAAGTCCAAAGGTTCACATACTTTTTCCTCCCTGCACTGTGAATGTTTACATGTTATGTGCAATTAAACCATGGCAACATCTAATGTTTGTGTAGTATTATGTTCAGCAGACACTGTGTTCTTCTATTGTTGTGACTTAGATGACGTTCAGAGCACATTTTATGCCCAATTCATGCAAAACTCCACGTAATCCCAAGGGGTTCACATACTTTTTCTTGCAACTGTATAGACCACACCTGTGGAATTCCTCTGGAAGCTGGAAATCACTCTAGTAGGTTCTACAGTGATCTCCAGTAACTGCCAGGTCCTGTGCCGAGGGGCTGCCCTGCTGCATTGTGAACATGGGGGGAAATGTAGTTTAAAGTGCCTTTGTCTCGAAATTAAAGATTCTAAGTAAAATTACCCCTGCAAAGAAGGCATTGATTACTCATCTCTCTACACCACCGATCCCTACTGTAGTGAAGAGAAACTGCCAGCTGAATATACTATAAATCTGACACTTCTGTCGGATTCTTGGTCCTTCTCTGCCCTTAGTATCCACAGGTCTGTATGCTACTGCTGTGTTTGTTGTAAAACAGGGTCTGGTGGGAGGAATCATAGCATGTGGTGGGGGCCAAGAAATTTACACTGTTGTAAGTATGGGGTTCTGTAAGATCTTCAGCTGGTGGTTTCTCTTCACTGTTGCATAGATCAGAGGCATGGACAGCAGGAGAGGTGAGCATGCAATGTTTTCTATGCAGCGCACTTTATATTTTAAACCTTTAGTTTAGCAACAGAGTTGAAGTCTGTGAGTGCAATCAGACTGTATACTCTCCTATATTCATATCATATACTGTATACCTATAACTGGCGCCTCCCCCGTATGTTTTATATTCACACATAGACTGTAGATAGATCAAGTGCAAAGCATCTGACGCTTTCCCTCCATCCAGAATTGCTGCCATTTTTTTTTTTGCCCTTTGGAGTTCCACAATCTGATTACACTGCTATGTGAGTTTTTGCTCTGGCTTGTATTATTTAAAACACAATACTACACACCAGGGGCAGACTGACCATTTGGAAACTCGGGTCAGTAGGGGGCCCCATGAGATGCCCCTAGTACCTTTTTCATAGGCTTTTTTGAGTTTGGGCAAGGACACAGGGGCCCCATGATCCCCTATTGCCTGGGGGCCCCATGAGTTGTCAGTCCGCCCCTGCTACACACTTTTACCCATTGTTCCAGTAAAAAATTAGCAAGAATTGATATTTTAAGCAAACACTTCAACTGTTTTTTATTTTCTTGTATGAAATTTGCAAAAGTCCTTCCTCTCCCCCTGATGATGTCTGCTATGACAAAATGCGTCAGCTGGGACCTAAGGATGTGACATCATCTCGCACGCCAATACTAGAAGTTGGACCAGATGGAGACTTGCTGCTGATCAGATGCTTACCATACAAGTTTGCCTTGTTTGGCTTCCTGCATATGTGAGTGTGCACTTTTGATGTTTTTAATAAATTGGTGGTTTTAGCTGTACTACACTAGGAGAGTTCTTCTTTTTATATGCCACTACTGCTAGGGAGTATACAAGTACCCGCAAGGATGCATATGAGCTGATTGGTGGAGATCAGGGGCGGACTGACCATTTGGAAACTCGGGCACTGCCCGAGGGCGCGGGGTCAGTAGGGGGCCCCATGAGATGCCCCTGGTACCTTTTTCATAGGCTTTTTTGAGTTTGGGGAAGGACACGGAGGCCCCATGATCCCCTATTGCCTGGGGGCCCCATGAGTTGTCAGTCCGCCCCTGGTGGAGATGTGGATCTTTTAACTCTCTGAGAGCTGTTTGACCATACATTAAGAGGTGGTCATATAAATCTGGTAAGAACCATTTGAGCAAACTGAGGTGGACACTGGTTGGTGGGTGTTCCTTATCTGCAGTCATCTGGAAGACCGCTCTTGATAGGTCTTCTGTTGCTGCACTGACTTTCAGGAGTGGTTTACCTTGTTACTTAAATACATACTGTATATATTTTTTTATTTGGATTCATTTTCACTTCTTGCTTATAGGATTATGACATATGTCTTATGATGATATTTGTATGTTGTAGTTTGTAATGTTAGTATTTATGTAGTTTTATTTCCTAGTAGTGCTGCACTTATTTTCTAAATGTTTTAAGCATTAGGAGTTGTCAGCATTTCACCATGTACAGCAATCTCAACAAGTGTTGTCGGCACTCTGCTGGAAATCCAGTAAGCACCAAGGAAATGGCAGGATCAACAGGTCCTTTATGGGTAAGGAAAATACTGTAAATTGCTAGTGTCAATGAACATATTGTCCTTATACCATGTTGATTTTTATATTCGCCTGCAGATACATTTTTAGTCAAGTGGTAAGGAAGCTAACAAGAGCAAAATCCTTATGGTCCCTGGTCGCACATGACGAGTGCCTAGACGCTGGTAACATAGCCTCTGCTAATGTTGGCTCATAGGGGAAGATTTACTAAAACTGGTGCACACAGAATCTGGTGCAGCTATGCATAGTAGGCAATCAGCTTCTAATTTCAGTTTGTTGAATAAAACTTTGACAATAAAACCTGGAAGCTGACTGGTTAATATGCACAGCTGCACTGGATTCTGTGTGCTCCAGTTTTAGTAAATCACCACTCTAGGTTTGTCTCTTATGCAGGCCATAGATGGGGAGAAAAACGGCCGATTTTTCGTCCGAAAATAAAACCGGCCGATTATCTTATCGTTAGTGGACGATTTTGTCGGCCGTTTTTCGTGTTTTTTGGACTTTCAGATTATCGGTGATGTTGGAAAATTTTCGAAAAACGCCCGACTTTATCCTCATTGATGGTCAAAAACGAACGATCGTTTTCCGAAAAAGGATCACAAAGGCCACAAAATGACATCATTTCCCGTTATAGGTTACTCATTAATCGGCCGATTTTCGTAATAATTGGTGGTCAGGTAAGTTTTTTAGACCGACCGATAGTTCGTTAATCGGCCGAAAATCTGCCGTTTTTCTCCCCATCTATGGCCTGCATTAGACCCGTGTTTCTCAACCTTTTTTCAGTCAAGGCACCCTTTAAAATTATGGATAGTCCCTAGCCACCCTTTAAAATTATGGACAGTCTTGAGGCACCCCATTCTAAAACAGGGTGCCTCTAGACCAGTGGTTTTCAACCTGTGGATCGCGACCCCTTTGGGGGTCGAACGACCCTTTCACAGGGGTCCCCTAAGACCATCAGAAAAACACATATTTCCGATGTGTAGAAAGCAGCTGCTGTGTTGAAAGCAGCTACTCTGTTAAAAGCAGCTACTGTGTTGAAAGCAGCTGCTGCGTTGAAAGCAGCAGTATTGGAGGTAAAATTACACTTCATGAATTATAATTACTGGGTAAATAATTTTATGGTTGGGGGTCACCACAACGAGGAACTGTATTAAAGGGTCACGGCGTTAGGAAGGTTGAGAACCACTGCTCTAGACTGTCCATAATTTTAAAAGGGCACCCCATTCTAAAATGGGAAAAACTATTCTAATAATTTTATATAATGCAGCAACATCCATACATGTAGGACACCCAACATTAGAGGGGATTTATACTTCCATACACTTTTGCACTCTGGTACTGACTAGTATTCCATTGTTTCTCTTCTCCCTCAGTTTCTCTCCATCACTAAGCTGATGTGGCCCCAGCACTGATGGAAATGGGCAGGGGAGGGTTAAATTAGGATGCTGTGCAGGCAGCTGACATCCTCCTTATCAACTGATGAAGTCATTGGTTGTCAGGATGCCTGCAGCTAGAAGGTCGTAATGGTGCACAATGAAAACCTGTGACTTTGTGTAAGACATTTTTAGACATTTTGCCAAGGCATCCCTGAAAAACCTCAAGGCACCCTGGTTGAGAAAGATTGCCTTAGACCAGCCTTTTTCACCAAGCATCTTTTTTAGTTACCTATAAGAGTGACATTCTTCCAACTGACTACCAAAGTAAGGAGAATATTTCTCACTGACCACCAATGTAAGGGGCAATCCTCTCATTGACCACCATTGCAAGAGGCATTCTTCTCAATGACCAACAATGTAAGGGGCATTTTTCTGATTGACCACCAATATCAGGAGCATTCTTCCCACTGATAACTAGTGAAAGGGGAATTCTTCCCATTGATCACCAGTGTCTGGAGCATTTAAAGGAAAAGTTCACCTTTGGGAACATGTTACATGTTCCACCCGTTTTTAGGGTGGAACATGTAACATGTTCCCATAGCTGCAGCCGTGCCTGCCATCCCTGCCTTCTGACAGATAGTATGGGAAGACTTCTCCCCGTACTATCTGCCGTACAGGGCTCCGCCCACATGGCTGCATCATTTATTCATGAACTTCCGTAAATGAACGAACTGCAAGTCCCAACAGCCTTAGCGGCTGACTGCTTGTAGTTTTTAATGAACTACCAGGTCTGCAGGAGATCTGCATGGCATCAGCGATCTACTGATCGCTGGTGCAATGCGTTCCTAGCTCCTGTAGACAAAAATAATAAATGCACTTTTTTTTACCTGCAAAAAATTTGCATTTATTATTTTTGTCTAAAAGGTGAACTTATCCTTTAAGCATTTCATGTAAGCACATTCATCCCAAGGATCATCGATGTAAGGATAATTTTTCCCACTGACCGCAAACGTAAGGGGCATTCCTCCCATTAACCACCATCGGAAGGGGCACTGTTCTTAAAGACCACCAATGTAAGGGACATTCCTCCCATCAACCCCCATTGGAAGGGGCACTGTTCCTACAGACCACCAATGTAAGGGACATTCCTCCCATAGACCACCATTGGAAGGGGCAAAGATCCTACAGACCACCAATGTAAGGGACATTCCTCCCATCAACCCCCATTGGAAGGGGCACTGTTCCTACAGACCACCAATGTAAGGGACATTCCTCCCATAGACCACCATTGGAAGGGGCAAAGATCCTACAGACCACCAATGTAAGGGACATTCCTCCCATTGACCACCATTGGAAGGGGCACTGTTCTTAAAGACCACCAATGTAAGGGACATTCCTTACCATCGACCACCATTGGAAGGGGCACTGTTCCTACAGACCACCAATGTAAGGGACATTCCTCCTATCGACCACCATTGGAAAGGGAAAATATAATACAGACCACCAATGTAAGGGGCTTTCTTCCACTGACCACCAATGTAAGGGGCATTCCTCCCATTGATGACCATTGGAAGGGGCACTCTTCTCAATGACCACCAATGTAAGGGACATTCTTCTCAATGACCAACAATGTAAGGAACATTTTTCTGAATGACCACCAATGATAGGAGCATTCTTCTGACTGATCACCAATGTAAGGAGCATTCTTCCCAATGACCACCAATGTAAGGGGAATTCTTTCAAGTGTCTTTTACGGTGGGTAGTTGGCGAGCGGTAAAACTGCGTTTCAACTGTCGAAAAACGAGCCTGTTTTCTTCATATTCAAGGCAAAATGAAAGACTCTGTTCAAAGCTCCCCTAACCCCAGTATCGACCTTCCCTATCCCGCCATTCTTTCCTCTGTCAGAGCCAGGAGTCAAATCTTGTGTAAGCTCCTTGTTAGATGGTGTCAGAGCTTACACAGGATTTATGACATCATCCTCACAAGACAGTGTTGAAAGCTGGTGATAGGTCACCAGTTATTTTACGAAGACTCCAACAATGGAGCCTCAGGGAACGCAGTCAAGGTGAGTATCAGTGGGTTGGGGGGTGTGGACATTCCGGATACCAAGTCGCTATGCCCTGAATGGGAAGAGATAGATTCTCTTTGGCCTTCATGAGCTTCATAGATCCAGAAACAATGGTCATTATTAACAGCAAATGAATAGCTCACCCAGCAGCTGAATTTTCTTCTGCAGCTCCACAATCTGCTCATGTATGGGAGGTTTCACTCCTGATAGAGATGCACTTGTCGGCATGGCTGCCTATGAAAGAGCAAAAAAGAGACATTTCCTAAGTGATGATAGTTCACTAGGTCTGGGATGTCCTGACTGCTTCATTTTCTGTCCAGGGTCTACAGAATAGATCCTATCTCCAGGAACAGTAGTTGTGTCTATTAAAGTGGTTGTAAACCCCTCCATATACCCAGCAAAGTGACTGGCCTCAGGTAATACACAGAGATGAAACAAATCCTCCTACATAAGTTGTACCTGTTTATCTACAATATTCTCTTCTCTACATCCATTCAAAGTGCCGAATTTTTAAAGCTTGTCTGAGAGTTCAGAAAACAGGGAGCGGAAAGCTGAAATTACACTCTACAGAGCTCAGTGAGGAGAGCTCTGAGAGCTGATTGGAGGGAGAGAGACACATCCCCTTCCACACAGCTTGCAGGTACAGAGCTGAGGCTGTCAATCTGCTGGAGGTCCCTTCCCTGTCACCATTTTTACCTTGGTGTCAGGAAAACTGGTCAGAAGTGATTCATGCTGAGCTTTATAACCACTTTAAAGGTGAGAGAGGTGAGCAGGTTGCTCTTGTCTAGTTGAACCGTGAGTCTCTATATAGCATCCACCAACTGGGGGGGCCAAACGAGAAAGAGAACTAGATAACGGGTAGAGAGAGGATGGGGAGCAGATAAAGAAAGGAGGGAGAGAAAGAGATAAGGGGGGAGAGAAAGAGAGAGTGGGAGATAATGAAGGGGGTGGGGGCACCAGTGAGAGGGGGATGGGGGAGAGATAATTATAAAGAGGGAGAGGGATGGGGGGTGCAAGTGAGAGGAGGGGGGGGGGGAATAAAAGTGAACAAAGCATGTGGGGGGGGGGGGGCAAGTGAGAGGGAGGAGAAAATTAAAAGTAAAGAGAGGGGGGGAGAAGGGGGGGGGGGGGTAACTGTACTGATCCTCTGAGGGCTCCCTCTAGTGTCTAGTCCATACATATTTATTTTTAGCGCAATGACAAAATCAAGGGACGTTTACAGAATTACACGATAGCCCCTAAGAATCATTGGCTCATCAAAAACACATTTCCCTCAATAAATACTGCAGACATAGAGGAAATGAACGCGCACAAAGTGGGGAAATGTGCGCAATTTGTCAGAAATGAAAAGATGAGCCATTTCCAGGGACACCTTTTATCTAAGGACACGTCTTCAGAACATGGATTGTCCCTGGAAATACAGGACAGACGACGGCTATGGAATAGGCGGTCAGATGGCTGAATGGTTAGCACCACGCACCCCACCCCCACCCTAATTTAGGTGTATGACGGCTGTGGGGTCATTCGATTGTAAGCTCTTCTGGTGCAAGGACTGATATGAATGATGCCATGTTTCCTGTCAGTGATAGATCAATATACAATGAATATCATTATGAAGGACCATTTCTAGGACCCAGAGGGTCAGTATGGGCAGAGTGTGTGCAGTCCAGGAACCCACCTTCATAAGGAGTCCTTCTCTCCTGTCTCAGCCCAGCCAGTCCTTCTCCCTGACAACTGTTTGATTATCTTTGCTGCTTAGCAACAGTTCCTATGAACAACCCTAACAAGCCTTTCCATTGGGTAGAACCCGCCCGCCATCTTGGTACTCCTACACAGCGTTTGTTAAGCCGCCATCTTGCTACTCCTCGCAGGGAGCGGCCGCAGTTGCAGTAAAATTCTACAAAATTCGACATTAAACTGATAGTAAAGTATTTTGTTATACATATTAAGGCAGACATGTAGGTACAGTAAATAGCTCCTAAACGTGCACCGATTAGGCGATAATAGCTTGAGCAGGGCCGGTGACAGCAAAGGCGCATGCGCATCGCGCTCTCAATGGACGGTATGCCGCCCATTGAGGGCTGTCTTCTCAGCTCGACCTATTGAAGGGCCGGAAGGTGCCGGATATGACGTATCCGGAAATCGGGCTCCCGCGGACAGAACTTGTCAGTGTCAGGCAAAGATACCGGCTGGTCGGAGAGGATGATGAGGGCACTGCTGGTGGTTGTGGGGCTCCTGGCGGTGATGGGGTGCCGAGCGGTGGAGGTGAAGAGGCCCCGGGGGGTCTCCTTGTCCAGTAAGCCTTCTCCTTCATTCATTAAAATGACATCGTCCCGGTATAACCGCCGAAAGCTCCTCCCTTGAAGAGTGGCGGAGACCGCCTCGGGCAGAGGTCCTCCATTGAAAAAAAAAAAAAAAAAGGTGGCGGAGGCCGCCTTGGGAAGAGGTCCTCCCCTAATAAAAGGGTGGCAGAGGCCGCCTTGGGAAGAGGTCCTCCCCTAATAAAAGGGTGGCAGAGGCCGCCTCGGGAAGAGGTCCTCCATTTAAAAAAACATTGGCGGAGGCTGCTTCAGGAGGAGGTCCTCCCCTAAAAAAAAAAAAGGTGGCGGAGGTCCCCTCGGGAAGAGGTCCTCCCTTGGAAAAGGGTGGCGGAGGTCTCCTTGGGTAGAGGGTCGCCTCGGGAAGAGGTCCTCCCTTGGAAAAGGGTGGCGGAGGTCGCCTCGGGAAGAGGTCCTCCCTTGGAAAAGGGTGGCGGAGGTCGCCTCGGGAAGAGGTCCTCCCTTGGAAAAGGGTGGCGGAGGTCGCCTCGGGAAGAGGTCCTCCCTTGGAAAAGGGTGGCGGAGGTCGCCTCGGGAAGAGGTCCTCCCTTGGAAAAGGGTGGCGGAGGTCACCTCGGGAAGAGGTCCTCCCTTGGAAAAAAAAAAAAAGGTGGTGGAGGCTTCTTTGGGAAGAGGTTTTCCCCTAATAAAAGGGTGGCGGAGGCCGCCTTGGGAAGAGGTTCTCCATTAAAAAAACATTGACGGAGGCTGCTTCAGGAGGAGGTCCTCCCCTAAAAAAAAAGGTGGCGGAGGTCCCCTCGGGAAGAGGTCCTCCCTTGGAAAAGGGTGGCGGAGGACTTCTTCGGGAAGAGGTCCTCCCTTGGAAAAGGGTGGCGGAGGACTTCTTCGGGAAGAGGTCCTCCCTTGGAAAAGGGTGGCGGAGGTCCCCTCGGGAAGAGGTCCTCCCTTGGAAAAGGGTGGCGGAGGACTTCTTCGGGAAGAGGTCCTCCCTTGGAAAAGGGTGGCGGAGGGCTTCTTCGGGAAGAGGTCCTCCCTTGGAAAAGGGTGGCGGAGGGCTTCTTCGGGAAGAGGTCCTCCCTTGGAAAAGGGTGGCGGAGGGCTTCTTCGGGAAGAGGTCCTCCCTTGGAAAAGGGTGGCGGAGGGCTTCTTCGGGAAGAGGTCCTCCCTTGGAAAAGGGTGGCGAAGGGCTTCTTCGGGAAGAGGTCCTCCCTTGGAAAAGGGTGGCGGAGGGCTTCTTCGGGAAGAGGTCCTCCCTTGGAAAAGGGTGGCGGAGGGCTTCTTCGGGAAGAGGTCCTCCCTTGGAAAAGGGTGGCGGAGGGCTTCTTCGGGAAGAGGTCCTCCCTTGGAAAAGGGTGGCGGAGGGCGCCTCGGGAAGAGGTCCTCCCTTGGAAAAATAAAAAGGTGGCGGAGGCTTCTTTGGGAAGAGGTTTTCCCCTAATAAAAGGGTGGCGGAGGCCGCCTTGGGAAGAGGTTCTCCATTAAAAAAACATTGGCGGAGGCTGCTTCAGGAGGAGGTCCTCCCCTAAAAAAAAAAAGGTGGCGGTGGTCCCCTCGGGAAGAGGTCCTCCCTTGGAAAAGGGTGGCGGAGGGCTCCTTCGGGAAGAGGTCCTCCCTTGGAAAAGGGTGGCGGAGGGCTCCTTCGGGGAAGAGGTCCCCCCTTGGAAAAGGGTAGCGGAGGGCTTCTTCGGGAAGAGGTCCTCCTTTTGAGAAAGGTGACAGGAGGAGGTCCTCCCCCTTGAGAAAGGTGGTGTCCTTGAGAGGAGGTCCTCCTCCAAAAAGGGTTTCGGAGGCTGCCTCGGGAGCTGCAGCTTCCCCCTCAAAGGGTGCGAAGGCCGCCTCGGCAGGGGAAGCTCCTCCAGGCAGAGTCTGGTGAGCCTACGGAGAGATTGAAGTGATGCGGGGAAAGGCAGTGCTGTCTTGAGTTTCATTGAGAATCGTTCCCATACAGTATCCTCCAAACCTCCTTTGAAAGTGCAGCTCAGCATTGTTACTATGACAAGAAGGGAGAGAAATTCCTTCCTTCTGTTTTACTAAAAAGTCGCATATATGTGGCCTCTCAGTTGTGGGCATATATGCATCTCTAGGTAAACACCAGAAGGCACTGGAAAGCTCCTGATGCATACTTGGGATTGGGAGCTTTCCAATCATGTGACCACTGTGACTACCAATGTCTCCATTGGCTTCCTGGCTTGTAGAACCTGTTAATGGGCTGGGAGGCGGCTGTTGAAAGGGGTTCAGTTTGCATGTGGATAAATGCGTTGTGACATTTACAAATTGCAGGGTACACAGCAGTATAAATCTGTCCATAGAAAACCATGCAAAAGGATGATAAATATTGTGACACAACCTCTATATATCTGAAGGACCCACTTGTTTTCCTGTGTTGACCGATTTGTCTTTGATTATTTGCAGATCGTGTCTTCTATGATGAGACAAAACCATTCACCTGTCTGGATGGGTCTAAGACGATCCCCTTTGACCAAGTGAATGATGACTACTGTGACTGTACGGATGGATCTGATGAGCCTGGTAAGAATCTAGTGGCTGGAATGGCTTCATTGTGGTGTCCATAATGGTTCAAAGAAGTTCTCAGAGAATGTCCTCCCTTGCTTCATCTCTTTTTAAAGAGACATGGTACATGTGTTTTACTGCTTGCCAACCACTTGCCTGCTGTAAAAAGCTTGTACAGGCACACATGCGCCCCCACCAGCCGACTCCCGCTGTGATTGGACACAATGGAATTTTGTCAGTAGGCTTCAGCCAATGATTCATGACTAAGGCCTGCAGATCGTCTGTGTCCAATTGCAGCCCAGAGCCATGAGCTGACAAACACATGGCTCTGTACAGAGGGGACGATCTGTTTTTTTGTTTTTTTTTGTCTTCTCCCCAAAGCAGGAAGAAAGAACAAATAGACATTTAGTAAAAAGCAGCAAACATTACACATTGTTAGGCACACAGTTAACCCCTTTGCCTGTAGATGTTAGCCCCTTCCCAGCCAGTTTCACTAGTACAGTAACAGTGTATGGTATTATCACTGAGTACTGTATTAGTGTCGCTGGTGATATCTGTGTCAGTTGGTGTACCTCCCAGTGTCAGATTGCCAGCCGCACTATTACAGTCCAACTATAAATCACTAATAACCGCCATTACTAGTATGGAAAAATAAATAAAAATTCCAGTATATATCTCATAGTTTGTAGATGCTATACCTTTCACACAAACCAATCGATATACACTTATTAGGATTTTTTTATTTTATCGAAGTCATGGAGCAGAATACATTTTGACCCATTTATGAAGAAATTAGATTATTTTTCCTATTGGATATGCTTTATAGCAGAAAGTGTAAAAAATTATTATATATATATATATATATATATATATAAAAAAAATTCTTCAAAACTTTCATTTATAGAATAAAAAATAAACCAAGTGGTGATCAAATACCACCACAAGAAAGCTCTATTTGTTTGAAAGAAAATTATCAATTTTATTTGGGTACAGCGTTGCATGACAGTGTAATTACCAGTTAAATTAGCACAGTGATAAATAGCAAAAAATGGCCTAGACTTGAAGGGGGTAAAACCTTTCAGAGCTCAAGTGGTCAAAGAGACTCTGTTACCCGGGGGGGAGCAAACCACTGCAGGGCGAAGTGAGAGACGCCATATCTACAGCATCTTTCCCCTAACTTTCATGTCATAGCTGAACTATGGGCTGGATGTACCAGCAAAGCTCAGACTGTTGCGGACAGTGTTGAAGCCATGAATCCCTTCACTCCACTCATTCTTGTTGGCTTTAACTGGAGCATAGGAATGTATGAGAGGTAGCAATGGTTTGGCAATCTCTGTCAATGATGAGGAAATACAGGAGCACTTCTGGAAATGTACTTCTGGATTTCTGGTCTAGGCAGCAATGACGTCCCCCAGCTGCAGTACTCGCATCATGCATCCTAGGGAGCATGAGGCAATTAGGGGCTTGTGGTTAGGCTTTAGCTGAATGTAATTTTTTTGTGTTGGTAACAGATCCCCATATCTCTATTTTATAGACAGAATCTAATCTTTTCAATTGAAACCTTTTGATAAGAACTGTTGTCTGTTGTGTACCCCTCAGGTACATCTGCATGTTCCAATGGTAACTTCCACTGCACCAATGCCGGGTACAGGCCCATTTACATACCTTCATCTCGTGTTAACGACGGCATTTGCGGTAAGTAGAAAATGGAGCTCATTCAGTATTATAAACAGAAAATGGAGGATTTATCCACTTGACATCCCCTCTCCCTGGCCATTCTGACACTTCACACATACAAGTAAAACAAAAACAAAAATCAGATTTTTTAATTAAGAAAAAACACCAGAATAGCCACTTGATCAGCATAGCACTAGCATTGCCGGTACACAGAGAGGAAGGGTTAAGGTGTTACTAAACCCACAACAGTACAATCAGTCTAATTATGCAGTAAAGCATACGTGTTATACTCACAGTGGGACCTAAGGGGATAATCCTCTGCATTGTGTAAAAAGGATGTTTGATTCTGTCTTCTCTGCCCCTCCTCTTAGTCAACAGTCCGCAATCCATCCCCCAATAGAACAGAGCCTTGGGGGTGCTCTGCACATGCTCAGTTTGGTGTGTTTTTTGCCAGAGTTTTTTTTTTTCTTGGGAGAGTGCATGTGATCAGCACAGGTCCAATCAACACTGTCCAGACAGAGGGTCAGGGGTCCTGTAGCCTCATAGGACAATCAGAGCAAAATGAAAACTCCTCTTACAAGCTTTAACCAGTGCTCAGCTGGACACTGATAGAAGTCACAAGACTGCTTATGAGAAAACGTATTTATAAGTTTATATTTACTAAAATAATTGCATTTCCATGTTCTGTGTACTGTGGGAGACGAGATATAGTGAATGCAGGGTCCTGGGTTTAGTAACACTTTAAAGCTGAAGTTCTTGTTTTCTTTTACTGTAAATAGTTTGTTTGGGCCAAGCTAGCTTAAACTAAATCTTTCCATAAGGAAGTTCTTCTGTCACTGTCCGTACTGTAGCAGACTCTAGTAGCATCAGATGCATATAGTATTCAACGCTGTGTTCCGGCAGCATCATGAGCCACTTCTTGTCAGCAACAAAATTGAGTTGCACTGAGTGCTTCCCACCCCATTCAGAGGAAACTTTTTGTTTTGTTTCTTATTTTTTTTTATTAATTTTTTATGAAATGAACGTGTTTGTGTGTTTTTTTTTTTTTGTTTTTTTTGTTTTTTTACAAGGCTTCCTTTTGATTGGCCAAGCTGGAAATCATGGCGTCATACCCACTCAATCAGAGGAAGCCTTGTATTCATAAAAATACCAAGTTGCCTCTGGCCGAGAAGCACTCGGAAGCCTGACTCGATTTTGTTGCAGTAGCAGATAAGAAGTATCTCATGATGCTGCCAGAACACAGTGCTGCATACTGTATGTAACTCAAGCTACCACAGTATGATATGCTGACGTCAGCACCACAATAACTTGGTTATGGAAATAGTTTTGGGCCAGCTTTGCCCAAAAGAGATGATGAAAAGAATTTTGTTGAACATTTTTGCACTGCAGAGCTTCACACTATTTCCTTATGGTGCAGATTGCTGTGACACTACTGATGAGTATAACAGTGGAGTGAACTGCCAGAACACCTGCAGGTAAGACTGTCTCTGCTGCCAAAAAGATCTCTGACGAAGGTCAGATTTATCAAAGTATTCTGGAGAAAACTGATTATTTTTTTTGTTTCATTCCCTACGCTTGGAAAATAAGGTCTTGTCCCTTTATCAGCAAACTTCCAGCAGCTTTATTAACCACTTGCCTACAGGGCACTTATACCCCCTTCCTGCCCAGGCCAATTTTAAGCTTTCAGCACTGTCACACTTAGAATGGCAATTGCGCGGTCATGCAATACTGTACTCATATGAAAATTTTTATAATTTTTTTTTTTGAGACAGAGCATTCTTTTGGTAGTATTTAGTCACCTCTGGGTTTTTTATTTTTTGCTAAGCAAACTAAAAGCAACTGAAAATTTAAAAAAAAAAAAAACTTTTTTTTTTTTTTTTAGTTTTTGTTATAACATTTTGTAAATAAGTGTTTTTTTTCTCCTTCACTGATGGGTGCTAATGAGACTGCAGTGATGGGCACTGATGTGGAGGCACTGGCAGGTGGCACTGATGGGCATTGACAGGCATTACTGATGAGCACTGAAAGGCAGCACTCATATATGGCACTGTTAGGTGGCACTGACTGGCACTGATATGTGGCATTGATGTGCACTAGTAGGCACTGATATGTGGCATTGATGTGCACTGATGGGCACTGGCAGGTGGGATTGATGAGCACTGACAGCTGGAATTGATGGACACTGACAGGTGGCACTGCTGGGGCTACACTGATCATCAGGGCACACTAATCATCAGTGCCTTGATGATCAGTGTACATGTCCCCTCCTAGGAATGTCGATTACCGGCTCTCCTCTCCTCTGTCAGCGTGACAGCTCGTGAGGGGAAAAATGCAGATAACCGTCATTTTCTTATTTACATGCGATCAGCTGTGATTGGACACAACTGATCACATGACCGAGCTGACATCTTTGGCTCTTTACGTTGATCGGTAATCTGCTGTGTCCCTCATCGATCTCTGTGCTGTGTGCTACCCCGGAGCCGAGCACATGTGATTAGAGTGGGAGGACATCGTATGACATCCTCCCAGAACAAGAGAACCACCTTGCGCCTGTCATTTCCTTATATGGCGGGTGGAAAGCAGTTTAAGAAGCACTCCGGGATATGCAAAAAAAAAAATCATCCATTAGTACACCCCCCCTACACAAAGCAGTAAACGGTTAATAACATTTTGAAAATCTTCACCATTGAGGAGAAAAATCTCATTGAATTTTCATGACCTGATCTCTGTAATTCAAAAGAGTACAGCAGAGGTGGTGTAACTGCCAGGATTACATCATATCCTCTCCTCTCTCTCTGCAGTAAAAGGAAACTACAGTTCCCATCAACCACAGGGAACGATAGTGAATGTGGGCGGGTACACTAGGCCTGTACATGTTGAATGTATCTGAGAGTCCTAGTCTGCCCACCACTGCAAATGGGGCTGAATGACATCACTGCTTCCTGGAGAAGGAACTACAGAAGGGAGTGCCAAGACCAGTGGCTGGGGGGAATAGGAGGCATAGCAGCCACCGGTCTTACAAACAGGAAACCAAAGAGAATGAACAGTTTTGGTTTAAACATGAACAGGTTATTTCACAACTACTGAGTGAACCAGAAGATGAATGACCTATTTAGTGAAGGTAGGAAATCCGCAACAAGGACTTGTAAAGAAATTTTTGCCCAGAGTTCTGCTTTAAGACTTTTCAAAAAAGCTGCTTGAAACTTATTGACAGCTCTGTAAATGCATATAGAGTACACATTGCTTTTTTACAATATCAATACCCACTGAAATCAGTGTGAACTAGGCCTCATAACACCCTTTCCTTTACTGCTATATTTCTCAGAGAGATGGGGCGAAAGGAGCGGGAAGAGCTGCAGAAGAAAGCTGAAATGGCTCGGGAGGGAATGCTGCTGAAACAGAAATATATCGATGAGTTCCGAAAGGGTCGGGAAGAGAAACAGGTATTGTCTGGCTGTGGAAAAGGACACCTCTCCCACAGTAATTTGGGCTTGTGAGAACAATTACCTCCTCTCACAGAAATGTAGGCTTGTGAACACCACCATATGGTCAAATGTGCGTGGGCACCCCTCCAAACTGAGGTGTTTTTAGTGACTGGTTCTGCTTACCCACTTGCCGACCGTAGGCCCTCATATGACGTCCTCTGTTTGCAGTGGTTATACTGGGATGATGCCTGCAGCTATACAGGCATCACCCTGGTATCAGAACTTTCAGCTGGCAATTCTGTTTTAATGCAGAAGTGATTCGAGTGGCTGAATCATTCCCCATACACCAAACCACCCCCGCCACTGCCTTTCTCTGGCTCTCTCACCTGGGAGTGTCGCTCCTCTTTGACCCTGGAAACCAGGAGCAATGAGAATTTAGTCACTTCTGGTTCCGCCTCTGTTTACCTGGCCGTTAGCGACCAGGAAAGCAGCCAGTCACATTGATATGTCTGATCAGTTGCATTGGAGTCCAGAAGAGAGATTTGGGGCCTTATATATCCCAGATCTCTCCATAAAGAGGACCTGTTACAGCCCATGCTGTCACAAGGGATGTTGTTCATCCCTTGTGATCACAATAAAGTTGGGATTTCACTGATACCACTTTTCAAGTAACAAGTAAAAGCTCTGATTGTTATTTTTTTTAAGTACTCGCCGATACCAACTACTGATACCTATTGCCAGCAATTAGGGAGATCAAGATGAAGAGTAGGAGGAGGAGCAGGGAGGGCGGGGGGGGGGGTCTCCATCATCTATCAGTGTGCTGTGTAATATTACCATCTGGCTGAGACCAAGTGATGAAGAAACACAGCACTCTCAGCACACTGCCGGCCCCACATAGCTCGGAGGACCATGCTGTCATCCTAACAAACCTATCATCCTTTTCTTCTTCTAGCACTGCAATTGTCCATTTTGTATTAATTGATGCCTCTTGCCTCCTGCCCCTGAGCCAAGCACCAATCATGGTTATCTACAGCAGTGTTTTTCAAATTTTTTTTTGTAGTCAAGGCTCCATTTTAAAATTGCGTAAACCCTGGGGCACACCAGTCTGAGGTGTTTCCGAGTCTGAGCACTTTTTTGCTTTTTTTTTGTTTTTTTATTAGGCTGCTCTGTCTAACAAGCAAAAGAAGGTGCTGGCATGATTTTTAAATTGAGCTCCATTAAAATACTTGGTACTGTGGTACCATGCGTTTAAGAGGGCGCAAACAAACATGCAACTGGTGGATGCGTGGGGGTGCAATTAAGAAATAAAGGCACCCGTGCACAACTGCAAAAGGCTACACATTTTTTTGTGTGATGCAGGAAAACGCACCATTTCACATGTTTTACTGCACCTGGTGTAAACATGCACTAAAATGCAGTTTTGTAAGGTAGAGCTAAGTAAGTGGTCAGTAGGTTGTAAATCCCCCTCCTGACACAACCTCTCCCACTTAGCACAAATTCCCTCTTCCTAAACCCCCCCCCCCCAGCTCAAACACCCCTCCCCTTACTACAGCAAAATGACACAAAGCTCTGTACAGTCTGACCATGAAAGGGTTACTGTGTTAAGTTCTGTGTACAGAGAGAAAGGAGAGCTCATCCTGGTCCTCCTCTAGTATCTCTCCCACTCTATTCTGTTATCTGTACTTTTGCAGACAAAAAGGAAAGCTGTGTAGGCCTGATCATTCCTTAGCAACCAATTACTTCATCGGTTGGTAGGATGCAGGCAGCTGGCTTACAGAGCATTCACTTTTGCTGGCAAAAGTACAGGTAATAGAATAGAGGGAGAGAGACCAGAGGAGAAACGGGTTGAGCTCTCCCTCCTCTCTGTATACAGAACTTAACACGGTCACATTCCCCCCCCCCCCCCCCCCACTCACCAGCAGCCAATGCAGGGAGGGGGGGAATCTGTTTTCCATGAGTGCTGACATTTTCTATCATGGGGACCCCTACTGGTCATTCTCCCCTGGTGTTGTTTACACTTCAGCTGTCAGCAGCGGAAGTCAAGTCATCAGTTATTATAGGCCAGGGGTGTGGAAATTAAAAAAAAAAAAAACTACTTGTCCAAGGGGCTAAATCAGGGTCCTAATCTACTTTTTTCTCAAGAGAATCTACTTGTCCTGTTAAAAATTTTTTTTTTTTAACCAAAACTGTATTTAATTAAGGCTGACCATCCCTTCACTCAGCAATCACTCCTCTGACCATACCTGTAGAGGTGTCCTGCTGAGCGTCAGGATGGTCAGAGGTGTCGTGCTGGGCTGTGGGGATGGTCAGAGGGGGCGTGAAGAGCGCGGAGATGGTTAGAGGTGTCCTGCTGAGCATTGGGATGGTCAGAGGGGGCGTGAAGACCGTGGGGATGGTCAGAGGGGGTGTGCAGATGGTCAGAGGGGGCATGACACCTCTGATTATCCTTACGTTCAGCAATTTTAAAGTACAATGCTCTATGTGGATGTGGCAGGTGGAGTAGATAAGTCGTAATAGGACAGAGTTTAATGTGTGTTGCCATTGATATGTCCTCTGTGGTGGTCTGGGTCCTGAGACCGCCCGCTGTGTGCGTGTTCTGCAGCAGAGTGTATGCAGACGGAGCGAGTACTGAGGTTTCCTTTACATGGTAGTTAGAATAGACTTAGAATGGGGGTAGGAGCAGGTTTAAGTATAAGTAGGATTTGAATGGACTTCTATTTTAGAATATGTTCTATATTCGCATGGTGTAAGAGAACAGAAGGTAGTCGCCGCAGTGCATTGCGGGTGCTGTTGGTGATTCACAGTTGAAACTGGGCATGTGTGTAACATTGTGAGTAATGATTGGATCACACTGACCATAAACATTAATGTTCCATTGTCCAGTTTATTGTAGTCGCTAATTTACATTCACAAGAGAATAACAATATCCTTGAATTTAAAAGCCAGAAGTGTAAACATTTCTTCCATTGTGAGTGGGTGGTGCAGTAAATTGGGCAATAATTCATTGTAGGATCTGAATTAAGTGTTCATCTGGAGAATAGACATTTTGTACCACAGTATAGAGCGGGTGGTAGAGAACAGTGGATATCTGTATAGCAGTAAAGCACAGGTGATCGAGAACAGGGCAAGATGTAGAAGAGAACAATATATTATGTTGACAAATGTTTCTATGGCAGGCAAGGTTGCAAGAACTGGTGGAGGAGCGTCAGAGCCTACAGTCAGAGGTTGACTCTCTGCGTGCAAAGAAAGAAGAGGCAGAGACACCAGAGAAGGAAGCCAAGGATGCGCATAAAAAGGAATGGGAAGGTAAGGCCAGTACAGTCACTCTGTAGGCTTAGTATAGTTTTCCATGTGAGTTTAACTATATAACTGTATATTTATGTGTGTGTCTTAGAGAGGAGGGAAGCAGAGAAAGCTGCCTTTGAAAAGAAGAGATCACTGGAAGCTTTTACTGAGCTGGATGAGGACTCTGATGGGATGTAAGTGTAGGCTTTTCTGGTATTTCATGAAAAGGGTGTTCCATTCTTATGGTGATCTTCCTAGTTCATGAATCCTGCATTCATGCTGTATTGGAAGGGGTACGATAGAGGGTTCTTCATCAATTGCTCAATCAGTGCTGTTTGGGGAGAGTAATGTTTTTTTTGTTTTTTGTGTTTGTGGGTGGGGTTTTTTTTTTTTTTTTTTGTGTTTTACTAGCTTTGTACATTTGTAAATTGTAAATTAATTTCTTCTGTGTATGAACAATAAGAAATGCATAGGTTAGCCTGTCCAGGCAAACTAATGTTTATCTCTTATCACTAGACTGTCTGTACAAGAGCTGTTGTCTCACTCAGAGTTTGATTCAGATGGAGATGGTTCCATATCTGACCAGGAAGCCCAGGTATAGTCTCATTGGTTTCTAGCTCACTCCTGTTGCTTTTTTTTTTTCTTTCGTTTCTTCCCACTCCATGAGGATCTGCAGGTCAGCCTTGGAGGTACTCTGGTCTCATTTGTGACCAAATGTGTACCAAATAGCCTTATATATTTATTTCAAGTATACCTGAAAATACCATAAAGGAGGTGAACATGCTACAGTGAATGCACCTAGCAGTGTTTGCACTTACCTTTTACTTGGTTCTTTCTAATATCTGAGGTGTCCTAAATCATGGGCTGATGTAGCATGCCAACCAACAAAGAAATTTGTGAAAAGAGATTCATAGAAAAAGCGGCTACATTATGGACAGAATGCGATACTCAGAAAAATTTCCAAAAATTATGCTTTATTACACAATAATAGACAATAGGGCAATCGCCCTGGTTTACCATCACCTCAGTATGAGACAATACACACAGACCTAAAACCATTTAAAATCACACCAAGACCGGTCTGGATATAAATGTGCTGCAAAGGTTGTGACAACCATAGTCTAAAACAGTGGTCGGCAAGCCGCGGCTCGCGAGCCACATGCGGCTCTTCACACATTTTAATGCGGCTCTTCTGTGTGCCGGGCGCCCGCTCCCCTCCCTCCTCTCGGGCGGCCGAGGACTCTGCAGCTAGCCCAGCAATGATTGGCCAGTCTCGCTGCCACTCACATCCTGATAGCTAGTGATTGGCTGTCAGGATGTGTGTAGGCGGGGCAGCGTGACGAACGTGAGGGGAGCTAGGCTCCTCTCACAGTCCGCCCTGAAGACCGGAACGGCGCGGGGAACATGGCGAGAGGAACGCGCGGAGCAAAGGTAAGTGAATTGACACAGGAGGGACTTGGCTTACTACTTGCTACTTACTTACTACTACTATATGAGGGATGAATTAATATGGGGGATGAATTACTATATGGGGGATGAATTACTATATGGGGGATGAATTACTATATGGGGGATGAATTACTATATGGGGGATGAATTACTATATGGGGGATGAATTACTATGGGGGATGAATTACTATGGGGGATGAATTACTATATGGGGGATGAATTACTATATGGGGGATGAATTACTATATGGGGGATGAATTACTATATGGGGGATGAATTGCTATGGGGGATGGATGAATTGCTATGGGGGATGAATTGCTATGGGGGATGAATTACTATGGGGGATGAATTACTATATGGGGGATGAATTACTATATGGGGGATGAATTACTATATGGGGGATGAATTACTATGGGGGATGAATTACTATATGGGGGATGAATTACTATAAAAACTTATTGAAAACAGTGTACCATCCTATGTATTTTCAGTTTTAAAAATGTGGCTCTCAAAATAAATTTCAATCGTGGTTTTGGCAAGATTTGGCTCAGTTGTTGAAAAAAAAGGTTGCCCACCACTGGTCTAAAACATTTGTAGCATTTGTGGTGAAGAAACCATATAAAGCAGACCTCTGCTATCTACATTTATCTCTCCATCAAGACATCAACAGGGACTCTTGCATCTACAAGAATCTTTGCAACGATTTGCATCTACCACAGGTAGATGGGCCCCAACCACATGTGCCTTTATAGGGTTGTACTGCTTGAATCCATAATTATATCACTGGGGTATATCCCCCCTTTTTCGCATTCAATTTTTTACCCATATTGCCTTGTATAGGCTTAGAGTTATGTTTCTCTCCATGTGGTAACTGTATTTGCCTATTTGCATAGCATGTGATATATACCTATGGTACAATTTTTTGAAAACACCTCCTACAGGGAGTGTAACCAATGTGCGGTGCTACAAATGTTTTAGACTATGGTTGTCACAACCTTTGCAGCACATTTATATCCAGACTGGCCTTGGTGTGATTTTAAATGGTTTTAGGTCTGTGTGTATTGTCTCATACTGAGGTGATGGTAAACCAGGGCGATTGCCCGATTGTCTATTATTAATGTGTAATAAAGCATCATTTTGGGAAATTTTTCTGAGTATCGCATTCTGTCCATAATGTAGCCGCTTTTTCTGTGAATCTCTTTTCACAAATTTCTTTGTTGGTCTGCATATTTTTTGGCTACTGGATGGAAGCCATATATTGGGTGATACAGTAATTTTTATATTTGAACCTCTAAACCTATTTTTTACTAATGGTGTAGAATGCCAGCTGACATTTTCTGGTATTGTGGAGAGCTGGCCCACCATCTGTATGTTTCTATTGGCAAGAAAGGCTGCTCATCATAGCAAAGGCTAATAGGAACATGTGGTAGAGTGTGCAGGAAATATTGAAACTAGCATGTTATAACAGCATGGGGTACAGTGGCACCCAAAGCATTGGCAAAGTCGCATAAAGGTATATACAGGTGCAAATTTCTGCATTTGTACTATGGTGTCTGCTGTGTGCCTTTGTGGTACTGGTGGGTATAGATAATGTTGAATGTTTACATTTTACCATCTATGTGGGGGTTAAAACATGCATGTGTGCACACACACATTTCCCATTTCCTTCTGTGATGAACAGTGGGTATAGAAAAGAATCAAAAAGAAAAAATAGTGAAGCGCTTATATCTCATATATAAATAAAATAAAGTGCATTCAAAAAAGAATTATTAAAAATAAATTAATGTAAATCTGATACTCCTGTGTGACAAATCTATATAATACACACTAATACATCCCTCTGGTGGGAGAAAAAAATAGTGCAACCGAATATATAATTAAGCTATAGTGATTCAACACACACTATAAAAACCTATTATGCCGTGCAAATAACAAATTTCAATACATAACCAAATGTGAATAAATTAGTGAATATAAAATTAATTATCCACATAAAGTAGTGCCTAATTCATACACATTACATATACATCATAAGTGAAACAAAAAAAATGTCCATGCATGTGACTGTGCTTTTAGAAAACACACGTGATCTCCACTTCTAGGTGCAAGTACTCTCCTCCAAATGGCAGCAATGCCTGCTCACCTCCCCTCCTTGACCCACACAGGGCCCCAAAGCAGTTTCCACCTCAGTGGTGTATCTCCTCTGGCAGACTCCTTATTTCTCCTCCTCTCTTATTCAGACTCATAGAAAGACATAAAACTTTCCATAGTGTAGTATATTTATTAAGAAGGGTGAAGCAACAAATAATTACACTCACATGGTCCTCTCTTGATCAACAAGCGTTTTTACCACAACCTATGGGTAAATCTGTATGCACTGGGGAATCCAATATGGCCGCGGCGTCCGGACATGCGTCACCAGGAATGACGAACCGACACGGTGTAGGAATTACAACAGTTTGCATATGTGCCTCCCACTTATTAAGGAGCCAAAAGTAATGGGACAGAATAATAATCATAAATCAAACTTTCACTTTTTAATACTTGGTTGCAAATCCTTTGCAGTCAATTACAGCCTGAAGTCTGGAACGCATAGACATCACCAGACGCTGGGTTTCATCCCTGGTGATGCTCTGCCAGGCCTCTACTGCAACTGTCTTCAGTTCCTGCTTGTTCTTGGGGCATTTTCCCTTCAGTTTTGTCTTCAGTAAGTGAGATGCATGCTCCATCGGATTCAGGTCAGGTGATGGACTTGGCCATTGCAGAACATTCCACTTTTTTCCCTTAAAAACCTCTTTGTTTGCTTTTGCAGTCTGCTTTGGGTCATTGTCCATCTGCACTGTGAAGCGTCCAATGAGTTGTGAAGCATTTGGCTGAATATGAGCAGATAATATTGCCTGAAACACTTCAGAATTCATCCGGCTGCTTTTGTCAGCAGTCACATCATCAATAAATACAAGAGAAGCAGTTCCATTGGCAGCCATACATGCCCACGCCATGACACTACCACCACCATGCTTCACTGATGAGGTGGTATGCTTAGGATCATGAGCAGTTCCTTTCCTTCTCCATACTCTTCTCTTCCCATCACTCTGGTACAAGTTGATCTTGGTCTCATCTGTCCATAGGATGTTGTTCCAGAACTTTGAAGGCTTTTTTAGATGTCGTTTGGCAAACTCTAATCTGGCCTTCCTGTTTTTGAGGCTCACCAATGGTTTACATCTTGTGGTGAACCCTCTGTATTCACTCTGGTGAAGTCTTCTCTTGATTGTTGACTTTGACACACATACACCTACCTCCTGGAGAGTGTTCCTGATCTGGCCAACTGTTGTGAAGGGTGTTTTCTTCACCAGGGAAAGAATTCTACGGTCATCCACCACAGTTGTTTTTTTGTGGTCTTCCGGAGTCTTTTGGTGTTGCTGAACTCACCGGTGCGTTCCTTCTTTTTAAGAATGTTCCAAACAGTTGTTTAGGCCACGCCTAATGTTTTTGCTATCTCTCTGATGGGTTTGTTTTGTTTTTTCAGCCTAATGATGGCTTGCTTCACTGATAGTGACAGCTCTTTGGATCTCATCTTGAGAGTTGACAGCAACATATTCCAAATGCAAATAGCACACTTGAAATGAACTCTGGACCTTTAATCTGCTCATTGTAATTGGGATAATGAGGGAATAACACATACCTGGCCATGAAACGGCTGAGAAGCCAATTGTCCCATTACTTTTGGTCCCTTAATAAGTGGGAGGCACATATGCAAACTGTTGTAATTCCTACACCGTTCACCTGATTTGGATGTAAATACCCTCAACTTAAAGCTGACAGTCTGCAGTTAAAGCACATCTTGTTTGTTTCATTTCAAATCCATTGTGGTGGTGTATAGAGCCAAAAATGTTAGAATTGTGTCAATGTCCCAATATTTATGGACCTGACTGTATACCCCAAAATTTTTTTTATTTTCATTTAAATTAATAAAATAAAATAAAAATAAAAAATTAAAAATGAATCAAAAAATAAAATTGAAAAATGAAAATTAAAATAAAATAAATATTTATTTTATTTTTATTTTCATTTTTCAATTTTATTTTTGATTCATTTTTATTTATTTTTTTTTTTTATTTTATTAATTTAAATGAAAATAAAATTTTT